TCAATAGCCTTGTAAGTTGATTGAATGAGCAGTAAAAAGAACTTTCGAGATGGGCGTGGCTACTACGAATGATCCGAGTTGAACCCCAAACTACAACCTCAAAGAACGATCAAAGACAGAGGGAAGGTGGGTGGATGAAATTGTTGATTCGTGCATGATCAGTTCTTCTACTTCGATATTTTTGTGAAATTTTGATTCTTTGGATATGGGTGCTTCGTGTGAAAGGCGTGAGAGGAGATGGAGATGAACTATAACTTACTTCCTTTTTTAGAAGTTAGGCGAGGTTGTAGTTTGGGGTTCAACTCTGATTATTAGTAGTAACCACGCTCATATCGAATGATCATTCTGCTGCTCTTTCATTTTTGCTTTGTTTGTTCATTTTTTGTTCTTGTAATTTTGATCGTTCGACTGTTTTGTGTGAAAAGCAGGAGAGGAGATGGAGATAAGCTAAGTGGTATCACTTGTCCTGTTTTCAGAGAAAGTTTTGGTCATAGGAACAGTACCTAACGTAACATAATGAGTGATTATTAACATTATGCATACCGATAGCTTTTGTTATAAATCTGTAATAAATAATCTTCTTAAACATTCACTACTCTAGACACAAATAAAACGAACGTGGTTGAGAAAATGCATCGAAATCTTTAAGAACGTTTCACATTGTCTTCTGTCGAGAGCTATAGTTTTCATCATCATCATCCATCTTAATTACTGTGGAGGAGGGAGAAATCGACGATCTATCCTCGGTTTCGCAGTATCCCTTAGGAAAGAATATCTACATACTTTAGCTCATCACCTTACTTTTTCTTTCAGAATATCTCTGAGCTCTCTGAGATTTGATGATGGGCGAGGAATTGTATCATGGTGATTTAACTCTTCGTCTGCGAAATGAGAAAAATATAAAACAAACAATTTGAGCACTTGCCTTCGTCGAATGCAGAATTCTCGAAAACATTTCGTGAGCTGATTTGCGTTGGAATGGATGGGCATGGTAGAGAATTACGCTTTGATGTACGTCCAACTTGCTCATGAAGTCTCCGAACTTCCATTTGGCGATTTCTCGAGAATATACTAGAAAACTTTATTTTCTCTTATTTTCCTGTTCTTTACCTAGCTACTGATATGCTGCTCAATCTGTCTCTTATATTGCCGAATAAGGGTTCCTTCTCCACATAATCATCTGCATGCGGAACCATTACTACTTTCGTCGATTCAGGTAGCCTTCAAGTAAAGCATATTATTTACAGCCAGCAGAACACATACTCTAAGTGACTGACAGATTCTCTCAGATGATAGTTGGGCATTCTTGAAGCTTCTTCTGAATACAATGGATGTTTCTGAATAGCGTTCATATTAATTTAGTTCAATGAAATCATGTAGAACTTGAGTGGTAACATTGGCATGCCGGAACCGGTCCATGAGTAAAGCTGGCGGATTATTATACCCTTGATCAACGACTTCCATGCCTAACTGAAGAACCCAGCAATATTGAAAACTTTGAAAAAAAACAAACTTCAAAGTTACGATCGATAATTCTGTTACTTTCGAAATCGTCATCGTCTTCACCGAATGGATTCAGCATAACTTCAGCAATCTGAATGAGAATATCGAAACGATAGCAATAATCACCAACTCAACCTTCATCCATCCCATGTAAAACATAAACTGTAGCGATCCCATCACAGGAAAATAAATGTCAACCTCAACACAATATTGCTCGTCTTCACTAAATGTTCAGTTACCTGAGTATCATGGGTCGCATGAGGTGATATTATATATTGCCGGGCTATCAGACTGATTAAAAAAAACGTATGTACCGCTAAGCAGACAAGCTGTGGATACACAAGTGGGATAGGACACCAATCATAAGCTATCAACCAAGATAGTCCAGCACGGTAGGTGAGAATAGCCTAAAATGAACTACGCATTGTCAGAAAAACGGTTGTATCTAACCTCTTCGATTTGAACGAGGTAGTAGTCGCTTTCGATAAATCCTTTCTTACGAGCCTCGTATAATCTTGCCAAGCTCCATTGAAAAATCATCCAGTGTTTGCCGAAGTTAGATTTCAGTGAATCAAAGACTTCTTTTTCATGAGCGTGCATATATCCTTAACATACAATGTTAGTTACTGTGGACTGCAATTTTTTCTAACCAGCTGCTACAACAGAGTCTAATGTTGGGAACCTTCTCCTTGTTTTCATAGAAATATCTCGGAAAACTAAAATCTGTCCCAATGAGCAATATCTTCAATCAATATTAATGAGATAACTTCGATGAATAAAACCAAACCTTAACACGGTCCTTCTATACAGTACTGCATCTGGGGTACTACCACGAACGTACATAGCTATTTTTATGGACAAACTGATAATGTTCTTTCTGTTGGCTTGAAATTTGAATGCTCACTTGTCAATGAACCCGATTGTTTTGTACAAGGTTAACCATCTACCTAAGACAGCAGTAACAAAGAAGCCTAACATGAAGTTCAATGGAATGTATGAAAGACCATGATCACTGTAGACGATAGCCACCTCGAACATCCTTAAAACACAATGAGAAAACCGAATTCAATATACCATATGCTAACCTCTGTTGTTCATCATTCATTAGAAACCTATAAGCCAATGAAATAATTGTATAAAAAACCAGCCAAACAATTAGCTCAACTATAACGCATCTCCAAATGCTGCCTTTCCATTTCAGCAGTAATTTGAAGAGTGTCCATGGTCGAGATGTAGATACAGACAAATTATAATTGATTGTCATAACGACAATAACCAAGGTTTGAGTCTTCTCCTTGCGAGGTTAGTAAAAGTCATTTTTTCCGATTTCTCAATATATATACCCAAACTACGTGAACTGTGGTTGGTGATGAACGACTTTTCATGCTTAACTCTTAATCTTTTGCGATACCTGAAATATATTGAGTGTTTCAGCCCATTCAAACAAAATACACCAAAATTATGCAAATAAACAAAAAGAGCGAGTGTCATTCCATAAACGGGAGTATAATATCAACCATGTATCACAGATAACCCAACAGAGCAACCGTTCTGTGCGTCGTTCAACTTTGGCACTAACTCGGAATCACGTGGAAAAGGTATGAGCACGTGACACGTGGAAATATAACACCAGAACATTTAGTAAAGTGTATAAAAAATTATTTAAGTCTGCGAATCGTAAACAGCATCACAAAAAGTAATTAACTACAATCCAAAGTCGTATTGTTTTTGTACCGGTCACGATGAAGAAATAAAGTATTACGAAACATCGTCACAGATTCACATTAATTGAATATTCATTTATTATAAAACATTTGTTATTAGAAGTATTAAAGCAAGATCAAGAATTCTACAGATGATGGACCCACTTAACGATGTAATTAAGTTGACTGAGCAGTCAAGCTTGTGAAGGGGAACTTCGGCTAACCGGGCTCCGACATATAAACCAGGCGAAGCCCGATCGCAGACCAGAGAGCTTTTCTGCCGAATCTGAAAAATGTGTTTCTTTATTAACCGCGATTTATTTAGAGGAATATAAGTGAAAAGCAAGGCCGTATTCTTAGAATTTATAAATCAAACTGAGTGCTTTGTCAGTTTTATTCTTAAATGGCGCCATTAACTTTCCTCGGGGAATATACCAAGATTGACAAATAGATCACATAAAAACTATTATTCTTTTAGAGCTACTTATGCTGGTAATACATAGTTCTTGATAGAAAATAAACTTACAACATTAGTTGAACGAATCCACGTAATGAACTCTAAACTGTTGCAATCACAATGGAAAGGGTTACGGAGAATAAAAGTGTCAGCAGCGCAACGATCAGCTAATTGGCGGAACGAGGTACTCAGTGTGTAAAACTGATTTCTAAATAAAGAATCTAACATCACAATTTAAATGATGAGACACACCTGCTCAGGTCAATGGTGGTAGCTTTGGCAATACATGAAGCATTAACTTGAAGGGTTTTGAGAAAGTTTTGTCGTAAGTCGAAATGCTGTAGCGATGGGAACGGGCAGGGCAAATCGTACGGAACTGACGAAAGGAAATTGTAAGACAAGTCAAGTACCTGCAAAAGATAAAGCTTATGTTGTCTCTTTCTATTGTAACTATATACCTGAAGATTTTGGAGGTTAGCTCTCTTAAACATATTCATGATGTAATTGAACTGGATGGTGCGATTTATGGTTTGTGTAAAAGCTCGCCGTAAATAGAGCTTAAATGTATATTATAAGCGTTTCGAGAGAGAAACAAAGCCCTTACTTCAGTCAGATGAGGAGTGTGTATCAAAAAGTCTGCATCGGAATCTTTTAGAACGATTTCATTGTTCGATAAGTCCAAAATTCGCAAGTTGGGCATTCCTTTCAGGGCATTGGAGTGTAAATTAACTGAGAACGAGCTTTTACATTGGGGAAAATAAAAGAGTTTACCTATGTAATTGGCAGATATATTCAAAGTAAGCAGCCTACTATGAACAGTTGATCCAAAAATGGATGTTGCAGGCAAGTCTTGGAAATTATTGCCATGTAGAGTAATACGTTGTAAAGCTCTGGAAAAAAGTTTATAAAATATATCTGCTTCCCTCTCACAGTTTGTAATATTAATAAACATTCGACTGCTAGCCTCATATTTTCTCACAATTCCTTCACACGTGAATCAGTCGTGCATTGCATGAAACCAATTAAAATCAGCTGAGTCGGAAAAGCTTTAGGAGCGAGGTACCCAAAAACTGAAGGAGGCTGTACGAGAGCGGCAGTTACCCTAATACCGTAAAGCCACAGCTGCGATATTATTATATTCCATATAATGTTCTTAATCCCTTTACAGAAAAAAAGTAAGTACTTGGCGCATAGTTAACTGGGCGGGGCAGAAGTTTTTTCATTCGAAATGAAGAGCGTTTCTTCACATCGACTTGCGATTCATAAGGCTCCTTAGGAAATGAGACTAAAGCTGCAGCAGCAGGACTTGATTGGCTTCCGCCAAAAAACGTTATAGCCGTTCAGAAATGAAAAAAAATTCTTATCCTACTTTCTATTTAGTATGCAAGAATTTAAGAATATCACTGTGTACTTTTATGTTACATCGTATCGAGCTTTAGGCTATCTAGTTGACATCTTGACAGATGTTAACAACGATTTGGAAACGTCAAATCGCAACTCTTTCGACTTAATGATTGACTCTGGCACTCTGAAGCATTATAAAGAAACTTACTTATAATGGTTATTAATGTTTATAAAAATCTCAGTGTCTACAAATTGGGCGTTGATGCAGGAAAGTTCTCCCTCGTCCTCCTTACACTGACAAGCAGCATAATCAGCTAGCGGGCCTCGACAGACATACTGCGAATTGGGATCTTGCTGAAAAGAGAAGAATTTGCAAACCAATTTGATCACATTCTTTAAGATAGAATTTTTTCTGAACAATATTGTCAAACCGCTGCCACGAGCGCTAAGAGATACGTTTTTCACTTCAAAACGGCAACCTAAGAGCAAATAGCTCATTAGATCAGATGCTATTAGATGCCATTTGTGTTTCCAACTTGCAAATAAATGAATTTGCAATATGTTGGAAATCGCTCAAGTGAAAGTTCATGGGGAAATAGTTTCCGCTATCTCCACGAGATTTCACCAAACTAATTTCATAGGTGGTGGAATAACGAAGGATAAAGCCTCAACCATAAAACGGCCTTCGAATTCTCATAGTTTCATTTTGATAGAAAAAAAGAGAGGACTAACCTCCTGAGGATAACGAGGTCTATCACGTTCTCGAGCATTCACAGACGTTGTCAGATCCCATCCCAAAAGGGAGAGGAAGACCAGTAGTCCTTCCGGCGATATAGTGATCTGTTTGATTCTGAAACAAAGCAAAATTAGAGAAGAAGTGGATGCAGAGCTGAAACGATAGAGCAGAACACAAGATGCACTTCTTTCTTGAGAAAAAAAAAAGAAAATCAATAGTTCATTTCAAAACGAAATGGTAAGAAAGAAATGAAGACGAGTGTGGAAAAATAAGAAAAATAACACAAAGAAGAAGATATTTGTTGAAAAAGATGTTCATTAGATGAAGTGGGATGCTAATATAGTTTGGTCGCAGAGAAACATGGAAGCTTTCAACCTCATTAACTCAATGAATTATCTAGGAAATCCGTTATTTAATATGAAAAAGGAATAACGTTATCTCAAGCCATGTTTGTGATGCTCTCTTCTCCTTCCTTTCAGGTGAGTTAAGGATGATTGTAGTTTGGGATAGTCTGGGCATACAACAAGACCAAAGGACGTAATGGATGCTTTTCATGGGGCGGAGAAACCCCTACCCTTGCTGCCTTCTCTCTTCTCTCTTTTCATTTTGGCTTCTGGGTGCTTTCCGGATATATAGCATCGATTGCTGACCACACTAGAGATGCAGAAAGAGAGTTGAAACGGGAAGAAAGTTAAAAGTAAGGGTGCAAGGTTAAAGAAAAAAGAAAATAAGAAAAATCTCTGATGATGTCATATATGAGGAAAGTAAGCTGGAAAAGAGTCTAAGAAAAAGCTATATTTTCAGCACTTCATCAGAGAATGACATAAACTTCAGCATCTGCGATTTCATGGCGATAAACGAGCTTTCCAACAAATGTTTTGGAGAATCGGAAAGAGGAATGTCTCAGAAGATATATTGAAAACAAACCATTAGATAGCAAAAAGTATAAAATACGATGACAGAGACAAAGGATGAAAGGGAAGCAAGAGGTTAGTGGGATGCTCATCCAGTTGTCCATTAACTAACGTTTCATTAACTGCCTCAGAACAGAACATTAACAGACTTCTTGGGATCAGAATCCATATACTGTTGAGGATTTACTAAGCCAGTAATGTTTCTTTCTCTGTCATCTCATTTGTTTTGAGCATGTTCCAGATTGCCTGGCTCATATGTGAATAGCATGAGAAAAAGAAAACACAGCTAACAAATGTACGATGAGTAATTTAGTTTCTCGATCTAGAATGTTCAACTTGTGCTTAAGAAGAAGCAGTTTGAAGGTTTGTATGCTCCCCGAAGAGCAACCATTAACACTGCTGAGTTTGTTCATGAAAAATGAAATTTCAGCCAAGTAAATAATAGGAAAAATATGTGATTTTCAAAGACATATATTTCTGCCTTCATACGCAGACAGAAAAGAACATACATTTGAAAACAATGAAAAGTGGGAAGATGGATGAATAACAGAGTTAAACACCGAATTTAAGACATACAAGCGTCGATAAACCGCATATGGAATACAAATGAGTTGGAAAAGAAACAGAGAAATAGATTGAGAGCAGGGAGAGAAACAAAGATTAAGAGAGATTCAAAGAGTGAAGAGAGCGATCGACTACAAGAGGTCACAAGGGGGAGTGAACATGGCAAAGGTTATTGCCAAACGAACATTGACCATCTTCATATATGGTATTAGCAGTGATCAGAACAGCTGTCCTGTCTGCATGACAGCCACAATGCTTTGATTGCTTATGAAAAAGGAGGCAAAGAGAGAAAAAGGGGAAAAATCAAAGAAATGCATTTGGCAAAAACGCATCGAACCTTGCCATATGATTCTATTAGCTTATGAGACTTCGGAGAATGTAACCAGCCCGTGGAAATGAAATGAATTGTTGACTAATGACAATTGTTGTATTAAATGACTACTCGTGAGGTTCAGAAGTCATCCGGAAACAACAGAACAGATGGACGATTCAGGGGAGATGCACAAATACACACATGCCATGAAAACCGCTCTCAGCCAAAGACTTTATATAAAAGATGTTGCTGTTGACATCTAAAGGGCTTGAGTCCAAGATATGGTAATTAGCTCTAATACATTCATTTACGCTCTCAAGAGAGTAGTGTTTCGCCCTATTGATGACTAAATATAGCAGACTGCATGAGATATAATAATAGCTATCTTGTCCAGCAAGGATTATAGCATCAAAGCAATAGAGTAAAAGACAGCAATTGAGAACATAAACATAAGAAGCGAAATTTCACTTTGCGCCTTCAACGTTTCCAATATTCTCTCTGCTAGTCTTTGGAGAGAGAAGAAGGATGAAGCCTATGACCAACAAAAATCGCAAGCAAGCTAATACAGCAAAAAGCAACCGTTCAACACATTTGTTGCGGAAGAAATGAGCACAACAATCGGCTGGCGTATGCTAATGAGCTCAGACGGACGTGGAAGAAATTGGCGTAAGTATTTGAAATTTAAAATAAAAAGATAGCAAAGAAAGTTAAGAAAATGTTTCAAATGGCCAAAACAAATATAAACTTCTAGCATAACTTATTATTTAATTCTGGTGGTTGGAAAGGGCATATCAAGTTTCCATGCTATTAAATAGAAAGAAAGAATATAGTATAAGAAAAAAATATTAAACTCTTAATATAATTCGCTTAACATCTCTTTGCGCGCTTCATAACTCAGTCGGCAAGAGTTTACAATGTTGAAAGAGCATCCCACTAGCCTAATGTGTATTTCATAGTGAAAAGGATAATGATGAGTTGAGAAAAGACGATAGGATGGGAGAGATGAGCAGCGTTTCAGAAATGAAGAGAGAAATGGAGAGGGAAAGAACAATATGTGTGGTTGAGAAAGCAGCAGGAGTGAGGTATGAAATGACATAACAGTCTTCAAAGTCTATGAATGTAAGGCGGAGAATAACAACGAAAAGAAGAAAAGTTAATAAATCTGCCATAACGGATTAGAGCAAATGTGAATGGTAATCTCTACATGGAATCAAAGCGAAGGAGAGAAGGAAGATACTCATGGAACAAAAAAGTTTGATAAAGTGAAAGCCCGATGAGATTTTTTATTCAGCTGAGAATAGAAACAACAGCTTGCTCAACAAAAATTGATTCCAAGCTGAATAATATATGAAGGAATAGGTTAAATCTTAAAATATGAAGTAAAAGCTTCATATTATAACAGCTGAACAGGCAGGCCAGCTTCCTTGCTCAACTTTATGTCTTTCAGCTTAGTTTCTATCATTCGACATCATTGACAAAGAAATATTTGTCAGCCGTGAGGTCAGCAGCAAAGACAAAAGATGAAATTAACCCTGTGGTGGTTAAAAGCCAATGCTATCCTCAACGAAAACGTCAAAAGAAAATTATTTGTTTTCGAGAAAAAAACTTAGCAATATGAATTTCAATAACATAACACTACTATAGTCTTTTGGAGAGGTTTGGCAGAATATATCAACAAGTGAACTATAATTGAATAGTCTTATTTCATAGAAAAATTGATAATTTCATCCAGCATCTTTCTAATCGCTCCTTCGAAATATGCAAAACAAATGTTTATTATGGATGTTAAATTTGGTCTAAACGGCTCTGTGGTGCTGCTTGTTTTTCACACAAACCAACACTCCTACTATATAAGAAAGACGGATTCGAGTTTGAAGCTCGTCTTATCCTCTACGAAACAATCCACATTAGATTGAGCTAATAGTTTCATTCAAACCAATTCTTCTGCGGAAGATACATAGAAGTGCCATATTTAAAAGCAATACTCTAAGACTCCACAAGTCATTTGTCAAAAGTCGAGTTGACATCTCCTGAAAACTGAGAACACCAAAATAGTTTTCGGAAAGAAACACAATTTCATATTGAAACCACTTGGGACACCAATAAATTAAACATTCGAAACACCCAAAATCATGGTTATCTTTGAGGTCAGCAGGCTACCATTAAGACCTAACAAACAGATTTGCTCACATAAATCTTGAAGCTCTACCTCAAATTATTTCTGAGAAATGGAACAATAACGGTAAACCGAAAAGGTAATTCTCGTTTATCATCCCCGAAAGTTGAAAGAGACTCCAGTGATTCAAGAAGAAGAAAATGGAAAAAGAAGATTAGCCGAATTATATGGGAGCATTTAGCAAAAACGTGATATTCGTGATAAGCAGTTATATTCCATGAAAACACTCACGTTATAACGGACACATCAGAGAAACAAAGGAATTTCGGGGAATCAATAAAGACAGAGGAAACTACAAAATAATCGTACCTTATATTGTACAAAAGATTATTCTCCCCGGCTCGCTATACTGTAGACGCAGGAGTTAGACAGTTCGTTCATTTGTTTCCAGATCTATAAGAATGTTTTGAGAAAGACTAAGGGATTGATCATGTACAGTGAAATACTCGAAAATTTAGCATATTTCACGTGGAACTAACACACGCTATTGATTTTCAATTCGTGGTTACGCGGACGAGCAGAGCGGTTGTTTTTTCAATGTTTTCCATTTTCAAGCATACGAGCCACACTTTTCACAAATATTTTCCGAAAAATTGTTTTGAACAAATAACATTCACACCCAGATTGGAGAGTAGGTTTGCCTCAATTTGAATCAAAGTTGAACGTATCCCTAAGCTATTAATCTCTGTGAGATTCTTGAATATGGATTGGACATGAAGATTTTAGATGAAATTTCTGAGATACGACAGTGGTTGAGTCTGGCAAAGCTCAATGCCATGTTTGAGAAAGTGTGCATTCGAAAAGAAAAACTAAAAAATTTATTTCTACATTACTTTATATGTATAAAACATGCACGCTAGAGACCACCGCACAGAACGGATCTTTAAATGCACTACGACTATTTAATAAATAAACAATTCTTATTGCTTGAATCAATGGTACATACAAGTTAAAAACTGAAAATATTTAGAAAGTTATACAAGAATTAGTAAAGCAGGGTCACATTACATAAGACAGTATGAAGTTCTACATCCGGGATCACTCTCTAAAAAGCACAAAAAGTGAGAGATATAAGTTAAGAGAATTTTGCACAACACCATTTGAACTAGCAAATAAATTAAGTAACTTTAGGCCTTATCTATAATATTAATTTGGCCGAGGAGGAATTACAGGACGAGCTGGAATATCCGGAACTTTTCCATTGTTCGGAGTTGGAGCTCTTCTGAAAATGAGACATTATTTCAATAGCAGTACATTTCAGAGAACTAAGACAATAATCAAAAGATCGCATAATTTCACACAGCAAGCAAAATACCGAAATGCATCATCTACATACAAATCACAATATGCATACATACCTGCCCCCTCTCTACCTAGGAGGCGGTGGTCCCATTGGACCTGGGCCCGGTGGTGGACCATTAGGACCAGGACGTCTGTACATGATTAATAATAGTAACGATTCTCTAGCACTTTTAAGATAGGAAAAATGAAAATACTTACTGTGGAAGGTTAGGGGGGTATCCCACACCTGGAGGTGGCCCACGTGGTCCCATTCCTGGGGGACCAGCCCCTGGACGGGGAGGCATTGGAGCAGGTCTTCCTCCGCCAGGTGGGACTGGCGCTGGTCGGTTCATAGGAGCAGCTCCTCCGGCGACAGGTCTTAACTCTCATACTTAGAAAAATCTTTTTTAATATGTTACCTGTAATCCATCGGAGGAAGACTGGGAGGATTTTCGCCAATAGTGCTCAAGTTGACTTCACTTATAATTCGAAGAGCCTCTTTGCAGGCATGATACATTCGAAGCATTTCTTCGCGTTTATGAGCTTCAGCTTGAGACTCCTCCATCAATGAATCCTGAACAGTTACTCATAGAAAAAAAATAAAATATAAAAACTAACTGTGTCACCACACTCATACAAACGAGCTAAAAGCTCATCCTTAATATATTCGCCAACCTGGAAAGTAGAGAAGTTTGATTTTACCAGTGAAACTTGAATACCTTATTGACTATGAGATTCATAACAGCCTTGGGAACAAGGTCTTTGATAGTCTTTGTGACAATATGCATATAAGAGTCAACAAGATTTCGAATAGTTTCAACTTGTCTTTCTAATTGTGGATCCATTGATACTTCTTCAACCTCCTGGGAAGCCTGGAAAACACTCATTTAGTCACAAATATATATTTTTCATCAAATTATTGTTAACAAGCAAGAGAGGAATCGAAACCGACCTCCTGTAAAATACAAAGGTTAAAGCTCGATTAAAATAAATCACTCACTTCATCTTCCACAGGCTTCTGCTTTTCAGGATAGACACCAGCACGTAAGAAGGAAGCTTTCCAGGCGTCGATTTCATCCAAGTTGTTACAACCAAGTTCCAACTGTTTGAAATCTTTGTAGATGTTCCTGAAAGGTAAAATGAAGGGATGAAAAGTGCAGACAAAGGTACAACACTCCTAAGCATGCAGTTGTTCAGAGAAAGGAAAGTAAGACATGCGGTTTTAGGGAAAAAGGAGAATAGCTAGCAAAAGGAAAATCAACAACACGTTTCAGATCTCGAAATGAGAAGGGGAAACGCTTATATTCACGAATCAAACGAAACAACACAACATCGTAGACCGTTTTTTGGCTACAAAGACAAGTAAGCTCTCACTTCCTGAAAAATGTTATTTGCGGGAAGTAAAAAAGAATCGCTATTTTGAGCAAAGGGAAGAAGGTGCATTAAGTTATTATTAGAAGGATGGGACATTTAACCTATCTATTCCCTTTTTGAGGTATAATTTCAAGGCTACCTACTGTCTGAAAACAGGGTATCAGTTATTGTTATCTCAGCTTTTAAAGCATTGGTCAATACATCGCAAGCTTTAAGCTTAGCGATCAGTTCGTCCAAAATTCTCAACTCACTTTCCGTCGGGATAAAACAGAGCAAACTTGTGCTGCCGTGACATGAACCCGCTTTCCAAATCTCTGAGTTTGATTCCATCAAGTGGTAACATATATTTCTTCTCTTTCTCCTGAAACAACGAGTACCTAACCGAGAAGAAGCAGAGGAACAACCTCGTCATCTTTGTACCAACTGAGACTGTCGTTCATGAGGACAAACCAGCATTCTTTGCTTCCTTTCATGAACGAAATGTTATTAATGCTCAGCCAACCCTTGCGGATAACTTGGTTTCCAAGATTTTTCTTTGTGACTTGTCCCTGAGCTGCTTTAGCTTCAGCACTGCAGCAAAAAAATTAGATTTATTTCAGCTGTTCCAAACCAACTTGGAAAATCCGATAAAATCTTCATGGTTGGTGTTCATGTAAGCAAGCTCATCGTCTATTATCATACTCAAATGATTTTTTGCCATTTGATCTCTTTCGTGTATGAAACCGACAACAATTCGTTCGACTTCATCTCTCAATCGAGGGAACCGAGTTAGCTAAAATCCTTAGCTTATTCCAGACGGAAAAGAAAAATCTTACCACTTGAGTACTGGATCGAACCACATTCGCTAATTCTGCTACTACAAGATCCACACATTTCAAAGAAGGTTCTTTCAAACGAGCAATTTGCTTCTTTGCCATAGCTTCGAAAGCTTTGTCAGGAGTGAAGAGTCCAACTCTATACGAAGCGAGAGATATTGATGGAACACACATGTTCTTCGTACCTGATACCATGAATATTTCTAATCGCGAATTGAATTTCTCTCCTCATTTCTTTCTCATCGATTTCCATTTTGACGATTTCGAACGGGAATCTCTCATGGAATAATCTAGAAAAGTTCATAGCTTATTAGCTTCTGATTTCCAAAGTGTCAAACCTTTTAATTTTAGCTCCACCACTGAGTTCTTGTGTTGAGACGGCAGCGGAAGAGGAACCTTCAATGGATCGCTCAACATCTTGTGTGAAATTTTGAACCATTCTATAGAATTTTTATCAAAACAGCAAACAAATATTGTAACATACTGCATCAAAGCCTTAGTCTTCCTTCCAGGATCATTGGGCTGGAAATTTTTAAAGTCTGCTACATCTTTCTCAAGAGAGAACAATTGTTTTTGCAAGTTATCACGAAGTGATGGTAATGTATCTCTGAAAATTCCACTATTATTTATATACAAATAGCTAGCAAACCTTATATGGTTCGTGAGTTGTTGATTGAGTGTAACTTGTAGGTATGAAGTTCCTAGACGATCAGCCATATGTCTAAATGAACGATTGAAAAACTTGTAGGACTCGAACTCCTACCTGTAAGAAGGATGCGACAAGAAGAACTTTCGTTCGCCATCTAAAGCAGTTCGAATATCTTTGCGTCCCACGATATCTTTCTGACCACGGTTTACTACTCCAACGTATCCTTTAGATTCAAAACTCATTTACATCTTTTCATTTTCTTCAAACCTCGACGTAGTGGGAATAACCTATTTTCAAGAATTTCCCGAGCATCTGTTCCTTCGTCCATCAAATCCAACTTGGTCAGAACACCGATAGTACGTAGCCCCTGTGGGTCAACTTCTTTAGCTAGTTTAAGAGCATCAGAAGTGGCCAAGTCACTATTAGCTGGAGTAACAGCGAGAATTAGACATGTTTCTCTACCAATGTAAGTCAGAATCATATCCCTTTAAGAAAATATAAAACCATCATTATGCAACTTATTGCTCACCTAATTTGCTGTTCAATATCTACTGGCTGATCACCAACTGGGACTTTCGTAAGACCAGGAAGATCAATAAGTGTTAGGTTCAACACTTTAAACATTAATATGATAGGTAGTGATTGCAGAACAACAAACCATGTGGACTGAAGACTCGAAGGTTGATTGGATGTGGGGATATTCCTTTGTTTTGTCCTGTTACGCGATCAGTCTCATCTTCGATTTCTTTACGAACGGCTTCAAAATCAGAAAAATAATGCCCTTTTTTGTGAAGAAACTCTGCGTATTCTGAAATAAACCGTTAAATTATAGATGACTCTTGGAAGCATTTCGCACCATTTCTATCCTGAATCAATTGAAGAATCAGAGGCCGGCGAGTGACAATTCCAGCACCACGCGGAAGGAAATCTCTGAGAAAAGTTTGAATGATGAAGAAAAAGAAAGAGAATCTCACTTTCCAACAAAGTTTTCTAGTACGGAAGATTTACCAGCACTTTGACCACCAACTACGGCGATTTGAGGAAGTTCAAAGCTGACTGGAGTACCAAGTTGAGAAAAAGCATCCTGAAATGAAAATGGTTTGAAAAGATATGACAAAGTATAAAGTACCTGAACCCTGTTAATAACTGGGATGAGGGCAGACATGCCCTGGTTGGCCCAAGCCATTTTGTGGTCTTAATGTGGTAGAAACTTCTTGTCCGGTGTCTGAAAAAAGAACAATCAAGGTATGAGATGTAATACTTGTAATGAATGCAAAAATAAATGAGAAACAAAGAACGAATAAGTAATATAAACTGAAACGACTCGAAATACAGAAAGCCAATGCAACACAACAACGTCTTATACATCAAGACTTCCTTTGCATTCCGTCAATAAGTTGCAAGAGATATACATAAGTATGCATCGTCAGTAAATGGAAATGACAAGTAAGAAAGATTGGAGTCTCATTCAGCTCAACAAAAGATGCAAGAAAAGAGTTCGAGTACCTTAAGGACGTTTCTTTGTTGGATAACATTATGAGTCATGGAAACGGGCTTAACTGGAATGCACCACAAACGTGCCAATCGATTTCATTAGCACATTCCTGGTCATTACGTAAAAATGAGTAGATGTAGAGAGCTCGGATAAATTGTCAGTGTATTCTTCCAAATTGAACTTGAAACAAGCATGTTCTTGTTTTACTATAGCAGCGATAAATAATTCCACTAGGAGAAGTTTGAGCGCTTCGATTCGTCAATATTCAGCCGTCTGCGCTCTCTTAGCTCTCTTTTCTCAGCAATTGCTATTGAACCGAAGAAAGACTGAAGCAGCATACATAGGTGTCTCCTGAATCAATGCCTAGGATACTTAGCGATTGGAAAAAACGCATTATTTGTATGTACATGCTAAAAAATAGTCGATTGTTAGTCCCCAACGTGACGGTTTTTTCAAAGAGCGTGCTTAGTAAAGAGCTTTTCCCTTTTCGAGGGAAACGCACTTTGAAGGATTGGACAGTCTGAGAAAGATTGAATGAGCTTTACCTATCTAATTAGAAACTCAATGAGACACCCAACTGCTATAAACAAATCAATCTCCATTTCAGGCTGTTTTGTTTAAAACCAGAAAAGGCGAGTCAGGTGTTATGGATATACAAAATTAATTTGGTGTCACCTCGAAATGGTGATGAATGCAAAAAACAGCGAAAGAATTGAGTTCTGCTTTATGGATTTCAGATGTAGACACGATGGGAGTTGCCGTATATCAGATGAGAAGACGAAAGAGAGGGCCACGCATGCTGAATCGATGGGTTGGAGTTGGGCAGCGAAAGAAAAAACTACAGCGAAATATAAAAAGCAAAGGGAGCGAATGCCGTAGAGTGAGTGTAGTACATTGAAGACCATAACATCAGTAAAGCTAACAAATGCTTCTCACCATCTTAGAAAGTGATAATGATTATCAGCAAATTGGAAATAAGAAGAAAACACTACAATTTGGAAAGAGTATTCCGTAGTTTGGAATGGGATAGAATGTGAGTGAAGCAAGCTCCGGAGTGGGACTGGAAAACAAGCCATGAGTCTAAAAAACCCACCAGTAACTTCGATACTCTCGAGTTCAATGAAAAAAGTGTTAAGCATATAGAAATTGGGGATATGAAGGCTGTTGTTGCTAAGCGATCAGCTGCATAGGACCAAATTGGAGAAAAAGATAGATTAATCACCTTTTTCTTTCCAACTACGGAGAAGTCAAGCAAATCCTTTTAAGCATGCTGTATTGGACAGCGTTTAAAAATTTGAGAAGACTAGGGAAGAAAATTTTCAGGAAAGGAAAAAGCGCAGTAGTATCTGAAGATGCAGAAGCAGGCATGCAGGCACACCCATAGATGGAAAAGCCTAGTCTATAACGACTAACAAGTCGGCAAAAACTCACATTTCAAGCTTTCAGACTTAGAAGTTAGAATGGGTTTTGGATTCTGGGCTATTCTTTCTGATGATTCCTCTACTCACAACCGCTTTGCATTCATTCTGTTGGCAAAATGAATACTCACCTGAAACGTGGCAAAAACCACGTCAATCTCTTTTATCGACTAGCTTCACGCTGACGAAGCTCAATGTCGAAAGAGATATCTACCATTGCAAATTAAGAAAGATGAAGAACATAGGAATATTGATAAAAAGCTTGTTTTTCCGAAAGCATAGTGTAAACACGCTGAATTCGATTCTTATATGCAATAGGAAAGAACCTTTTCCAATCTTGTCTCAACAATTGTCTTCTTGTCAGAAGAAGCTATTTAAGCAGTTCTGATCAAAACGTCAAAGACTTTGGAAGTACTGCAAATGTATTTCTCATCGTTGGCAAGTATAGATAGGTCCAGGTTTCTTGAGAATGAATCAATGTACACTTTCTCAAGAAAGCTAATGGGGTTGTTAGTGCTCTCTTGGGAACAGTTTCCTTCATAGATCCACAGCTTTTGCAATGCATTTCGAGTACCCACACCTTAGAGCATGGAGAAACAGAGCAACAAAAGGTGTCAATAACCTCTAATGTCCACACTACAATATTTGGGATGTTCTACATTAGGAAAAGTATGTGGACATCATGAGAGGAGCTTTCATTGCTCTGTTCTCAATTGTACAAAATACAAAAGGTACAATAATCGCAAATAATATGAAAAACATGTTGGCGTAGACAGAGTATGTTACATCAAAAACATGTAACACAACATGGCTTTGTAGTGATTAGTTCGAAAATGAGAGGGAAAGTCTGAGGAAGAGTGAGTATCGATCATATAACACTCAATCTTGTAATAGGCTTCAGGTTCATATACTGACTCGATTGCAGCTCGTTAGCAGATTCAAGTAATGACATCTAACAATGAGAAAATGGAAGCACGTACGTTGGCGATGCCATCTCTTAATATTGATGAAGGAGAGCTTTTGGGAGAAGAGATCGAAGTAAGAATAAGAAACGAGTAAGGGAGCATTTGAATTCGTTTGTTTCGATTTTAGTTAGACGACTGGCCGATGATGTTCATAGCGTCATTCTATCGACATATAAGCTCTCCCTCTCACCCCTCCGTAACTCTGACTATGGAAAATGTCGAGACTCTCCTTCTCTCTCTTCAGTTTTCCATTTGTAATTTCACTAACAGCTATCCTATACTCTTCCATATCCTTCATATCAAATGACACATATCCTTGTTATGACTAGGAAAGATTGTTATAGGTAAAGAGGAAGAGAGAAGAGTGAGAGAGACAAAATAAAAATAAATTGACTGTTTAGAACTAGCGTTTATAAAAGATACTTGATGGAATGAACCAGGATATTGCTTAGGAAAAGCTCTCTTATATGATAAACAATTCTCCGTCATACTTTATTGAATCATGTAAATCTTCTACCTCAATTTCTTTTCATTTACAAAAAATAAACATATACTCTTCATGCAATTAACAGATACACTCCTTATTTTGTTATTCAAAAACATCGCCAACAAAATCTTCGGAAGCAACCAACATCTTCTGGGCCAAAGCTCGTGCCTGCAAACAAACTCGGTGAGAAGAGAAATCTAGAGATTTATTCAGAACTCAAGCGTTCTTCTGCAGTCGACTCGCAAAAAATATAAGCTAAGAATAAGATTTCAAGTGATCCCAACCTTTTTGTCCACAACATTTATGGCTTTTAGACCAGCCGCTTTTTCAAATGATTGTTTCGCCTCATCTATACGCCCCATATACTGCTGGAGGACACCTATGTAGTAGTAATTGGCAGCTGAGAAACCTTGCTAGAAAGATACACTGAAGAGGGAAGAGTTGAAAAAAGCGAGTACCTTTACTTGTTCTGCTTTTGTGAAACACTGTAGAGCTTCATCCATTTGGTTCTTTCCATAATTGCTCACACCTGAAGTCAAAAAAATTTATTGTATTGAAGAGCGCAGATGTTTACCTAGAGCATACCAAGCAAAAGGATCATTTGGGTTGGCTCTGAGAGCTCTTTTGAGAGTGTTGGTGTTCTTCTCGGACTTGAGCTCTGCAGGCATTTCGCGCCTGACAGGCACGAGGCTTACAGTCTGTTGAGAGTCTATGGTGAATCTGAACAAAATTAAATTAATTGGAAACTGCATGAGCCGTGAGGGAAAAAGAAGTCGCACGAATAAAGCCGGGAAAACAAAAGAATGAAATTCTTACTCGAAAAGAAGGGCGGATACTGATAATCCTCCGGCATGTGATTACTCAGATAATCGCGTCTTTGACGATGCTGATGATTCGAAAGCTTATAATATTTCTTAAAGCCTTCCAAATCCGCTGAAATGAATTAAAACATCTGTGAAACCAAAGAGAAGAAGAACCAAAAACTTAATCAAACGCATATATATGAGGCTTTCGTCGGATTATCTCATCTGATTGGATCGGAGACATCAGATTGAAAAACAATTCTTTCGATTCTGAAAAGTTCTCAGGCAAAAGTTGTTGACGTCAATATAGCAAGCCCAGATTATCTGGTATTTGACTAGAAAAAAAGAAAAAGAAAACTATGCAGAAGAACAATTCATCTTGACGATTGTTAATAGTACAAATAAGCATATAATACAATAAGTGAAAGATCAGTAATACCAAGTAATCTGAGATCAAAAATGTTCTTTAACAAACAAAGTCAGTAAAGTGAATGTGAGTCATCATTTCTGCTAGTGCAGCTTCTTGCAGTCGTAGCTCATCATCGTTCAAATCACAATCTTCCTGAAAACATTAGCTTTTTAAGAAACATACATGATACATCAAATCTCACTTCAGATTCAGATTCATACTCCGATTCAGACCTGCAATCAGTCTCACTATCAGAGGGCACGTAAGAAGTCGTGTAGAACTGAGGTTCAAAACCATCAGTCAATACCAGTTCTTCCTGAAATGAGAATATATTGCTATACAAAAAAATAGAAAATACCGGAATATGTGAATACTCATCAGAATCTGAATCAGCTCCGCCAGCAAAAGGAACTTCAATCTCTAAATCCTCAGTGTCCTCATCATCATCTTGATCATCATCCATTAGACTGATTTCTTCGATGGTGGATAAAGTATTCTCTAATAGATCCATGTCATCATCCTCAGTTAGAATAATGGACTCCTCCTGAAATAGACACTGAGTAACCCTGCAAAGCATTCTTCCATACTTGATTGAGACAAAAATCCTTGAGTGAACTATCTTTCTCACCAAAGGTTTCAACTTCTGAATCACTATCATTATAAACAGCGAAACTTCTCTTCGCTGAGGCGATAGCACAAAGTTCTTCCAATGAGTCTGCTTTTTTCTAAAAAGAAAACCAAAAAAAATGTATTATGAAGCTTCCTTTACTGACCAGGCGTTGGAACTGGGGAGCAGGCGGAATTTCAAGTGTTGGAGTAACGAGAGTTTTCTTCACAGAAGCGCAGTCTATATTCTTGTTAATAACATTTGAACGAGCTTTAATGTTATCTATGGATCGTGGTGTGCCACCCTGAATGATATAATTATATCTGTGAGACGAAAAATCTTACATATGCCAAGTTTTTCAACTCTCCGAAAGCTCTGCGAGGGGTATTCATTACCGTAACTCCATTATCACGCCTGTTCATCTTGTTATCTAAACTAATCTGAAGAAGAACAAATAACGAATGACGAATATCAATAACAAGTAAAAGTAATGAGCCAACTATGACGGCAACGCTAAAAAAAAAAACAACAAAAAAATAAAATTCTTCGAAATCACAAGTTATTATGAATCACAGTTGCGACCGCAAGTTAGTGGTGGATACAGAATTTACAAAGTTGTTTCAAAAACCCGAAAATGTCCAAAGTAAGAAGTATAATACAAGGGAAAGTATAGCAATTTTGCAAAGGAAAGCTGAGGGAGAACCAGCAGAGTCAAATGGAAGGGCATGAACCTTAAACATTGAATGTTGTAGCTGCCTCAAAATTATTCACCAACCTGTACAGTCTGATCAGCACTGAGGGAGACTAAGCTAGCTTTATTTCCAGCAGCAACACCGGGGATTAATCTTTTCGAGCCATCACTCGAAGGCAAAACGACGTCTTCAGCAACTCTACTCAGAAATTCGACGCCGGTAACGAATATTCCATGTGTTTCCTGGAATGAATAAATTAAGAAATATTGTTAAATATCAGCAAACTTTGAAAAATTGAAGAGGCTTCATCTCATGAGTATCGAAAATTCCAACACTTCCGCCCAAAGTTCCTATTCCAGTAAAATTACCACATGAACTCACACATAGAGCAGAGATGGACTAAAATAAACTTATGATATCTGAGACAGTGAACTAAGATACCTCTCCTTTGCGCGCCTCTTTAACTATGACAGGTTTACAAACTTGTCTTTCGCGATTGTAAGCCCATAGAGCTAAAAAGCAACTAGACTTTGAGGTTCTTTGAATGCAGTTGTAAGCAACAACGAAAATTATGTTGTTACCGCCTAAGGCTGTATATCTTGCTGATCGAACCTGAACAATTTTATCAACTAAGATAATAGCATTTTCGCATACTCTATAGCCTTTTCCTATTACAGCAGGAATTTCTAAGTCTTGTATTTTTTTTCCGGACATCATATCCCACATAGAGAAAACTCCATCTGTACCAATAGACCTGAAGAAAGACATTATATTGAAAGATTTGAATAGGTTACATGATAATCCTGCCGTCAGGAGAAATATCTACATCATCAATATCTCCTTGATGTGCTCGTATTTCTGTAATAGGCTTTCGAACAATTTCAGGGTTCTGAAAAAAAAGCATGATTGGAATTTCTTGAATGAAAATTTCATACTCTATTATTCACGATATCTTTGACATCCCATACTCGCAAATATCCATCAGAACCACCAGTCACTAGCTTCTGTCCTCGAGAAGCTTTGTCAAACCGAACGCATTTCTATATAGGAAATTAATCTCTCTGCATGTTCAATTCACCTGGTATCCATCAACTTTTTCATCTGTGCTTATCCTAGCAATTTTGGTGAAGTTATACGCTAACACATTATCCCCATGTTCAGAAGAAACGTTATACCCACCGGTTTCGTAAATGTCACAATACTTAAAGATTTTCCGTGATATAATTCAAATGAAAACTGACGCTGTCATGCCCTGCGGCTATCAAGTAACGTCCAGATTCCGGATTACCGACGCATACTACATCCATGTTCATAGTGGCATACTGCTCAGTACCTATCTTGAAGAGATTACCGTGGTGTGAGAAGTATTCAAAAGATTTACTGTGTTTGAAAGCTGTGCACACATTCCAGTAGCTGATTGACTCACTGTTTTCTTGAATGAAATCAAATGTGACTTGAATATAAAGTAATGATACAGTTGATGGAATAGCAAGATACCTCCATTTGATTGGGGACGCCAGTTTTAGCGGCACCACCTCCGCCACCCAGAAGTAGATGCCTACCTCCAAGCTTCTTTATACAGTACATTGGAGCTTTGCATGTTGTCAGAACAGGAGGTGTACTTCGAGAGTTTGAAGATCCCATTACTTAAAAAAAAAGTGTAAGTTACAGTTACATACAATACCACACGACGCCGCGTTGTCCACTTCTCATAGACGTGTGACCGAAAATTAGTACAATGTCTGTCCCGACGCGTGAATGCACAACAGCATAATATTCACTTCTCCTGCATAATATATATATAAATATAAATATATTTAAATAGTTTTAACGGTTTATTTCTTTGAGGTAAGGCTTACATTAATTGAAATATTTCTTCACACTGATTCTAAGAATTCGAACTATTTGTTATTTAGATTGGTATCCTTTGTAGTTATGGACATTCCCGAGAGTGCTTCGTCAGTTGATTCCAGAATGGAAGTCAGAGAAGAGTAAGGCTCAGTAGCTATCAAACGTACAGTATATAATGTTTTTTTATAGGAAAGCTAGTGAATCAAGCGGACAGTCTTCATCAGAAGGTAAAACTTTTGTTCTAAAAAAATGGAATGCCCTAGCTATATGGTCCTGGGATGTTGAATGTGATACGTGCGCTATTTGTCGTGTTCATTTGATGGGTGAGCACAACTTCCTGGCTTTTTGATGCTCTAAATCTTATTATAGAGGAATGCTTGAAGTGCCAGGCAGAATCAGCTTCTGAATGCGTTGTCGTTTGGGGAGAATGTAACCACTCCTTTCATAATTGTTGTATGAGCCAGTGGGTTCGGCAGAACAACAGATGTCCTCTATGTCAGCAGGTTAGTTACTATATCTATTATATCATTTTGTTATTGCCACAAGCATAAAATATGTATTGGAGTTCTTCTTTATTGACTTCAATGGATATGGACAGAGTTCACGTAAAACTTTATTACATTCTTATCTTACAGGACTGGATGGTGCAACGAATCGGTCATTAATTATGCTTTTAGAGAACGAAACTGTGATAATATCTGTAATTATGTAAGTAAATTATGTTTTCACTCTTCTGTTAAATAAAACAAATTTGATTCTAACGAGTGAAAGGTTAAACTGAAAGATTGTTCCCGTATTCCATCCAGAGATTCGAGGTTAGTGATCGTAGCGTCAGGATGATTACTTATTAAACGACATGTTACAACTCCTTGCATATAATTGTCAGGCAAGCCGATTTTTATGAAAGCCTGCAAAAGAGTTGAATATTCTCTATGCTTTATCGAAATTACCAGAGGAGGCAAATCATACAATGTCTCGCCATCGTCATCTATAACATCTTCTCCATTTCGTGTTAATGTTTTTGATGGAATCTAAATAAGAAGATCAGAACCGTTTAATCTCTCCTTCTACTTTTGTAAGTGCAAATCCTCCAAATTGATCGTCGCCTTGGAAGTTGGGAATGTACGTGATATTAACTTCTGATTTTTCCAAATTAAGAAAAGGATGCTGAAGATTATACGATTGTAAAGGGTAAATTTGTGAGAATGGAAATCACCGTCAGAACACATTTGAAAGGTAGCTCAGTATGAGTAGAGTTCTGCTTAAACTGAGGTTGCCAACCTATTTTCTGAAAACAGAATAATTAACCATATAGAACGAATGAACCGACATCTTTGAAACGTATTAGAAAACAGGGCTCCTTGTTGAAATAACCATATCTACAAATGCTTGGTTAGGAGGGGAAATATGGACACATAATTACTTATTTTCCTTTGTGCATTCCTCACTGCCAGGTATCAAACTAATATTGAAATTGCACCAAGTCTCTTCAGCCTAAATCAAAGAACATATTAAGCTTAAACCAAAGATCAATATGTAACTGCTTCAGTCGAATTACAATCTGACACGAACTTCCTACGGGAGTCTTGTTCTTTTGTATAAGCTGAAAAGGAAATATAATATCCAACCCAGAGTCATCCATTACCATCAAGATACTTGTTGATTTCTTCTACATACTTCTCCTGGTGTTTCGCTTTATCCCCTTCGAACAACATAATCAAACTACGCCCATCAATATTCATTGTTGGAGTGATTTGAAGACCTATTCAAAACGTTAGAATTTCAAAGCTTTCAACTTTTTACCTGTTCTTGCTCGAACTTTGTTGTTCATGATATCTTCCTGTACATGTTTATAACCTGATCGTATCAGGAACAAAGCAACGAATGCAAAAATGACTATTAGAAACATGGAACCAAAAAACATGCTTTTCTGTCTTAATTCGAAACGGTGGTGAACCATAAACAGCTCACGCATACCGATCGTCACCCTAGCAAAAAAACATTTTAATTCAATTTATCCGAAATTAGAAAAAACCTTCCTGTGGGATCTCCAAAAATATTCTCAGTGTCATTATCTCTGAGGTAAATATCTTCAGGTTGAATTTCGAGAGTTTCCGGCTCAACCGGATGATAGCGTAACGAAGTCATTCAGAGCTGCGGAACTTAAGGGATCATATCCTGTAAAGACATAATAGGAAAACATTACAATAGGTGGGCCAAAAGAAATGGAAACATTGAGAATAGATTTTTGTATAGAAATCAATAAAAGAAGCATTATAGGAGGGAGTTAGAGAGCTGAAAGAAAATCTCTAAAGCCAGATTTAGTCGGCTGTATCCATTGGAAACGCAGATGAAAATGATGTGGGAGATTTCATCAGTAAAATCCAGTCATCTTCAATATTAAACTAAAAATAAAAGGTAAGGATCATGAAAGTTTAACATGGCTTCATTGCAACTTCAAAAAATAGAAGGAAACCAGCTGTGATGAAATGTAGGAACACATATAGAACTAACACATCATACATGAATTTGGTGTAAGTTATGGGGGAAGGAAATTAAATGTTCCTATCTTTTGAAGTATTTGTCTGAATATGAGTTTGAACGGAAATTTCATTGAATTCAAAACTTCGCAGAGGAAAAACGGCATCTAGCGACACTCAGACCATTTAATTGTTCAAGAAAGAATAAAAAATTATATGTTAAGCTAACCAAAAACATAGAGAAGTGAAGAAAAACGAGTAAATTGATAGTTACTGCTAATGGTTAGTGTAGCCATGTCTCATCACACTACGATGATGAACATGATATATCTGTCAATCGATAGTCATTGACATGCGCACATGGGCATGACACTACCATTCGATTACCTTGCATGAGTGTTTGATCGTCTTGTCTATACGACCGTCAAAAGTTTTAGACAGCACATGCTCTCTCTTTGAGTAAATCATAACTCGACCTCAAATGACCTTTGAAGTATTCAAAAATGAGTAAAAATAATCGAAGAGAAAAGCGCATAAAACATTCCACTAACGTCCAAAACAATTTGATAGTCTTTGCAAATTGGTTCCAAATAACACTTCTTTCTCACGGAAATTGGTTACCCAATACGATAATTAATATGGTAAAATGCTGCAGCCAAAAGAATCCTGTTGTAAAATAATATGAAATTGTAGAGGAGTAGAACAAACCCCATATGTGCACTTCGGTTGTTGCAAAAGGATTACTCATTTCAAAGTTTGGTGCGATATAGCCTGAATGCTAGGTTCTACGGTTGATTGAGTTCCCTCTTCAAAAAAAAATTCTCTCTTCCCCTGCAATGGTGAAAACGACAATGCTTATGCTGCTTTCGAAGACAATTAAAACAATCTATGTAAAAAAAAACTTCATTTAAACCTTATTCTTGAGCAAGATATCTATTAACTATATCGATCGATGTTGCAGTTGACATGATTTCAGCTTTTGCAGCTTCTTCATTGACCTGGGAATACAACTCAGAAGACCTATAATGCAAAAAAATAAGAGAGAAAGAGTTGGGACAAAAAGAGCAACCGCTTTTCATCAATTAGAAAATGAAAGTGAAAACACAATGTTGTTCGACGTGGATGGCTGTCGTATCTCACGTGAAATTTAACGTGCGAATAATATAAAAAATATGGCAGCATCCCTCGAAAATAAAAACATCAAAACTTACAAATAACGTTCACCGCTACTGTTCACAGTTGTTACAATAAGTTTTCCTTCGTTCCCGGGTCTTTTAGCCAGCTAAGAAAGATAAGAAGGTCACATAAATCTAATAATTTTACCTCAATGGCAGCTAGGACGTTAGATCCTGAAGATATTCCTGCAAGAATTCCTTCTTCAACTGCAATTCTTCGTGCCATAGCAAGAGCATCATCAGAAGCGATAGCAATGACTCCATCATAAATAGTTGTATCAAGAGTGTCTGGGATCAATCCTGCTCCGATTCCTTGGATCTTGTGCTTTCCTGCAGGTCCCCCACTTAGTACGGCTGACTCAGTGGGCTCAATAGCGAATGACTTGAATCAGCAGGGAAATTAAAACAGAATAATCTATTCACCTGAATCAATGGATTTTTCTCTTTCAAGAAACGGGAAACTCCAGAGATAGTTCCACCAGTCCCAACTCCAAAGCACACGATATCAACCTACGTGAAATGAGTGATGAACTTCTAGAATTTGTTTTCAATACTTTTCCATCAGTTTGCTTCCAAATTTCTGGACCGGTAGAGTTGTAATGTGCTTTCGGGTTGTCCATATTTGAGAACTAAGAACATGGATAGGTGACGCATATAAAACAAAACAAATACTTGATTAGTTCTGAAAACATTAGGAATGACACTGGTGAGTTCTTCTAAGCGAGTCATAACTCCCTTGAAGCCATCAGCAGGATCTGTTAACACAAGCTGAAAATGCAGTTGTGGTCATAGCCAAGAAATGGTATTGAACATTACCTGAGCTCCATAAGCACTCAGGAGTGAACGTCTTTCAATACTCATCGAGGCTGGCATGACAAGAACACATTTATAACTTGAATAAAAATGTAAGAAAAAAATCATATTGAATAAGACATACCCTTTGGCAGCTGAAATAGCAGCTAATGCAATACCAGTGTTTCCACTTGTTCCTTCAAGAAGCACATGCTTTCCTGGGATGAGTTCACCCCTCTTCTCAGCTTCATGAACGATATTGCGAGCAGGTCTATCTTTAACAGAGCCAGTAGGATTCAGATACTCTAACTTCACAGCTGAAACAATGGGGAAAACGTTTGAGAAAAGACTTTATTGTTGTACCTATTCTGGCCGGAAGTCCTTTAGTTATAGTTTTTAATTCGATGAGTGGAGTGTCACCAATTCCATGGCAGAAATCATTTCCCATAGGTTTGCTGTATTCAGCCATGCTTCCTGATGAGTTGTTTAACTGGAAAAAAATGGAGGTGTTGAATTCTTCGTGTTTGAAGTAATCTGGCTGCGTCAAAAATCAATGACCAGCCCAGAGAGACGGAGTTCAATCAATGAATTGTTCCAAAACCTCATACATAACAACGTAAAGTAATGAAATTCGATGATCAGAGTATATAAAAAAGAAATAAGTTAATTTATGAGAAATAAAACAAATAAAAGGTTCGAATTAAATAGCAGTTGTACGTGTAGTCTGCCCAACTAGCACTTACCATGACTGATAACATAAGGCGATCATTTCAAATTGATACGACCAAAGAATCTGAACATAGCGCCTTCAATGTAACATAGCGTCTTATCTTTGGTCATTGTTCAAAAATTATGAGTTAACCTCGTTCAGCTATTTATATGTTACTCGAATTCCAAATAAACTCTGAACCCATGTAAAATCGTGGCGCTAAAAAACTTATTTGCACAGCGGAATCAACCGATTCCTTGAACGATGACAATTGCTGATGAAATTCAAATAATTTCACGCGAATGTCACGTAGTCATTTCTTTTGGAAGAGGAAACCTCTTTATCACATAAAACAAACATCAAATTCTACGTGCATTTCTGAAGAATCCTAATTTCTCGCGATTTTGTATTCATTAAACGTCATTTGACAGATAATTCGATATTCGTTTGTACGAAAAAAGAAAGGTATTATGGACAACATGTTGAAACAACTTTATTTGCGTCAAGTCTTCATACCATGCATTTCCAGTTATAATGAGTCAGCATAATGGCTGATTTTATTGCAGCTTGTTCGTTGTCTAGGTAATTCTTAGAATAAAGTTGATCGCATAAGAATTCATACCTGCGTTTGAAAGCTATGGACACAGGTGTAAGCACATAAATGCCTCACAAATGACTTCAAAACAATCAGAGCCTGCGAGTTTAGAAACCATCTACTACTATCAAAACTACCTGCTTATAACTGTTTGTTCATTTGAGAGATTTCATCCACACATGTGAAGAGATAGGGATTGTTCACCACACAATTCGCCTTCGAGAAGAACGTACATCCTTGAGACAGACCGGCAAAATACCTTCAGAACGAGTTGAGGCTGTGCTGCTTCATGTGAAGAACTCACTGTGTGAGGGAAGGACAACATTCAGACTCAGACTTAGTCAATCTAAATAAGGTGAACTTGGACATTTTTTTCATGTGAAAGTTCAGGTCTCCCTTTTTCCTTTTGAGCTGGTACACAGACTCATTCGTTCTCTTGCTAAAGACAGCTCACGCAACTATTTCAGGAAATTGCCTGTATCATGAAACTGTTCGCTTTCCTTGTGCCAGAAACCGTAGAAGATACAGCCACTTTTTCCTTCGGCCAGCTTATTTGGTCAGACGTTCTGAATAGGAGAAGTTACAGTGACAGTATTCGAAAATTACTTGTCCGGAAGCAGACCTTTCGCAGCTTATAATCACATTCTGGTCAGTTACGCTCTGACCATTAGGCATTAATTGTTTCTTCCAAAAAAAACTAGAATTATAAAATAGAAGCAGTGTGCATAAGTCACAGAGTTATACCAGCAACTTGAAGTTTGGAACCCAACGCAGAATCGTTTACACAAACTAAACTGTTTGAGTCATTGTACTATGATGGTTCGAAATCTTTCAACACTCTGTTTGTGAGCCCAAACGTATCGATGTAACCTGGGTAACTTTTTTAAGCACGGATAGGTTCCAAATTCACACACCTACAGCTACCAAGTTTCCGTTCCTGCAAGAGACACGTACTCCTCTCGAATTCTGATCTTCTTCACATGTTGGATGCAATCACTTGTACAGAAATGCCAAGGATTAAAGCTGGAAGTGGAACTTTAAAAAATAAAGAAAATGCCTAACTAACCTGATGAGGATACAATCAGCATTTGGAATTGTGTTACAAGTGATTGGGTTGAAGCCGATCCATCGACTTTAAAGGGAGTTTGTTGAAATACAAAAGCATTGAAGCTAACAATTAATTTGAGAATCGAGCATTTATTTCGCTCGGGATTTGAAATCCGAACACTAAGAATATAACACTCTACCATTAAAAAAAACGGAACGAACAAAGACATTCATAGAACTATATTTTCCCAAGCATGAGAAAACATAACTAGTAAGCTTCTTCAAAGTCTATTGCCGTGGTCTCTCTATCTATATGAGCCATGATTATAACTGGATGAGGCCCATAGACTGTATGAGTACAGTTCGCGCCTTGACTTTCAGAATACGAAATTTCGAAAACTGATCTAGAATTCTGAAAAAAATTTGTAAAAAAAGTTCTGAACGACGAATAGCTTACGCAGGTGGAATTCAAATTGAATTTGAACGAGAAGTAGTCATTTCCATATGAATCATCAGTCAAAACAGCATTAAAATGCAGGAGCATGAATTTTTTGACCAATATTGGTTGTTCAGGAGTGAAGGAGGCAACAAAATCATCACTACTGATGACATCTTCTTCGAGAAGAACAATGTCGTTTAAGTGGAAATCATGAGTACAATCCAAAACCAGCCAAAAAGAGTACATTTTTTCGTTCATTGTACACTAGAACCAACTGTTATTAGGACATTAGAGAAATCTAAAATTTACTATAGACATGAATCCAGCATATCCGAAATTGAATAGAAAGAAGACCGAGACGAGTTTAAAAAGCATACCAGCCATTAGAGCAACTGACCTACTCCACAGGTAAACGATAAATGACGGAAAGTTCAAACATATCCACGTGGAAAACAACACGTCACCTAATGCTTTAAGCTCATGCTTGAAGTTTTTGGTACTCTCAAATACTTGTTGAGGTTAATCATGAACAGCTTCTTTCACTGAAACAAAAGTTTAGTAATAAAAGATATAGCCAAATGGTTGTATCGATAACAAAAGTTCATGACAGTCAAGAGAAACGAGCATATGTATTCGAAAATGAAGATCGGTCGAAGTATCACTTCAATATGCTTCTTCCGTGGCAAACCCAGAAGAAGACTTATCCAAACTTTGATAGTGAAGGAGTACGTGGGGCCCTAATGCAATCATATTACATGGGGCTGCTTGAAAAGAGACGAAACCATCGTCGAAAGTTCGGAAATGATTCTGTAACATAGGGTTATTCAAATTTTCAATGACAGCAACTCTTACGCATGTTGAATTTATCCTAATCTCGAATTCAAAGTTTCTTGAAATGATTTCGTCCCCAGCCATGGTTAAGGTAATTCTTTGTACCGAATATCCAGAAAGCACATTTAAGGGTTTGGGCCAATGCGTATACAACACACGGTCGTAAAACCAAAAGTCTTTTTCGATGATATTGACTGAACCAATCTCGAACGGCTGTGAACAGTCCAAAAATAACCATAAACTGAACATTTTTTCGTTTGATGAACACTAAAGCAAAAAGTGAAGTCATATAAGAGGAAACTCACATCTGCTTGAACTGTTCCGAACTGTTTTGACATGAGCAAGACGAATATCATCAGAGAAATCATTCTGGTATAAAAACAGACCGGCCTTTACAGCTGGAAGTTGTAAATATAAGTTGATTCAAGTTCCACGCTTCCACGTGTAAAACGTGAAAACTTCCAACTACAATTATTGAGGCAAACTGTCTAAACCAAAGTTATTACAACTTTCTCGTGGAAGACCAAAAACAAAAAGTGACTTTTGTGATTTAACTGGTTGAAGTGAGCAAGTTTTCAACGAGTATATTGAAACATCGAAATATGCCCACTCTTTTAGACGTTCCTTCGAAATGTTTGTCAACATAATTATTCTATTCTCAATAATTGTTATATCTTAAGCCGATACAACTACATCTGCAAGAGAATATCCTAGTGGTTACATTCTCGAAGGCTGGTTGATTCATAAAACAATCGGAAGAGGTACTTATGGAACAGTGTACGAGGTAATGAATGAGCTCATGAAAGCAATTCGAATTTGATGTCATGGAGGTTGGCCGCTTATCAAAAAGGACGAACCAATCCTTTGCCCTGAAGACGGTCAGCTTCGAAGCAGCAGTCCCAGAGTTGAAGAATGAAATTAATTCCTTAAGGTTTCATCAATTTTTTTTTCGAAAACTTCTCAAAGTTCTCAGAATATTTCACGAGTCTGGCTCGAAACATTGCTGCAGCGTGATCGAGGCTGGCAAACATCATGGTCTCCATTACGTGGTTATGAGTCTTGTGGGGAAAACAGTTCAAGTGGGAAAATAACAACAATAAATAGAGTAAGCAGATATCTTCAGTATCTGCGCCAAAGCATGCGGTCCAATCCAACAAAGAAGTTTTCATTGGGGTGCTCGCTTAAACTAGGCAAAGAATGTTTGGAGGCCATATCAGATCTTCATTCCGTGGGGTGAGTTTGAACCCATCGCAGGATATGAACAAGTTTAAGAATCATCCATTGCGATGTGAAGCCATCAAATTTTGCTATTGGAGCAAATGACCCGAGGCGAATTTATATACTAGATTTTGGCATGAGCCGGAAACATAGAAGCAACAGAAGACAGAAACATTTCTTCCGTTGGATGGTGGGGTTCCGAGGAACACCAAGGTTTTTCCTAGTTTTCCATCTAATCACTTTGTTGCTTGGTAAAAAGATATGCCTCTCTGGATGCTCATAAAAATCTGGTTCTTTGTCCCAAAGATGATGTAGAGAGTTGGTTTTACCAACAGGTCAGCTAAGATTCGGTTTCTGTAATTGGAACAAATTAAGATTGAACTTACTACTGGAACACTGCTCTGGAAAAGTTTGAAAGACAATGGTGACATCATCGAAACGAAGAAGAAGTGTAGAATTGAACGTAAAGAACATTCTCGAACTAGATATCATTTCATTTTTAGTTCTTCCGAAATTTCTGACTGGGTGTCCACCTGAATATCACAAAATCTTAACGTATATAGACGAGCTAAAATATAACCAACAGCCAGATTACTTCAAAATTCAAAAACTGTTGGATGAAGCAATTAAAAGAAACGCCTACAACATAGATACTCCATTCGACTGGGAGACAAACCACGAGAACGACAAATGAATATGGAGAAACAAAGTTAAAAATTCATTCAATAAAATCAACATAGTATATTTACATCGATTCTGCGATTATAACTGCGTACATGACTAGGAGAAAAAAAATGAGATGTTAAAGATCGAAGTGGTTCCCGTGTTTTTGATGACAAATCAAAGCAACGATCAATACAGATAACGGTTCTGAGAAAAACAAATTAACAAATCTGTTTCATAAGATCATAGAAGTTGAGCTATGCTCATAATATTGAGAACAATGTGCTCATCAAACACCTGCTGCGGCTTTCTTTGCTTTGGATTCTGCAGACTTCTTTTTTGTTTTTTTTGGTGAAGATAATATTTTTTCCTGCAACAAGAACAATTCCCAACGTTTATGAACAACTGCAAACCTTTTTCGGTGACTCTGCTCTAGTTTGTTTTTCATAGTCATCCAGAAGTTCTTTTTCTTTCTCTTGCCGACTCGACCGTGATAAGCTTCTGCGAACTCGTTCAACAAGTTTCGAGCCCATATGCTTGAACGGGTTCCGTCCACCTTGAAAATATCTTAAACTAACGACCTTTGACTTATTGTAATACCGCGTGGTAAGGTTCCATAAGCATTGATGATTGGTTCCTGCTCGGGAGATTGACATGAGCTGTACTGAGTGCGCAAAGTGTCCTACAACATTTTCATTATCTCAAACCTCAACGTATTTATGAACAAACCTTCTTTTTACCTCGGTCTTGTGTTGCTTCAACAGAGCGGGATTTACGAATTCCGAAGAACCCTTTTTTCTCTGATTTTGTATCATCGATCGCCTCGAAAGCTTTAGCCATCAATTTAACCGACGGTTGCCCTCCTCTTGCCAGCTCTTCTCTTCGAATGCGGTACAGAATATTAGTACCAGTGCTTCCACATCTGCTGTGATTCGGTTCTTCTTCGTCTAACTCGCTTCTTCTATCGAAAGATGCTGTGCGATCTGAAGACGAAGTGTTCAAACTGGATGTAGATCAAGAAATACTTAGGAAAGATTGCGGCTCTTGATAAACTATCTTTCGTTGACTTAACGGACGGCCATATCGATCATATCCAGTTGTGCTCTCGGTACTGAAATATAGCAGTAAGGACATCGTTAAAACAAATTTCGGAGTTAAATTCATCATTCATCTAGTTCGCAAACATTCTATATATATTGTTAGTAAAGAAGCTTGATGAACATGCTGGCATAACTGTTTAGAAGCACAGTATGTCTTCTGACTGACCATGCAGTTCGAAAAAATAATTTCGTGTTCTACCTGAATGATCTTTTACTTGCAGGATGATTCGGTACATTCGGAGTACTTGTCGTGTGTTGAAGTGGGAACGGCCCTTCAGCTATTCCTTGATATTTAGGAGATGTTTCCAGAGATCCATTACAATTGAATGTTAGATTCGCGGCATCAACATTCAATCGATCTACTGGTGAAGTTAGTTGAACTCTGCTCGATTGTGCAGAAGTTGCATGAGATGTTTTGCTTTGTGTAGGAGGTGAGGCAATTGTGCTGCTGACTACGCTTGCTTGATTAGAAGACCATCTAAAGAAAGAGAAAAGAGGTAAGTGAGCAAAGTGAACGAAAAGGTGGATGAAAAGTGTTGAACTTCCAAGAAAAAGCAAACGAAAACAACTAATAAGGAATGCTATCCTACTGGAAAATCATGAACTCATAGAAAACATGCTCATAGGAACACAACTAGGTTGAGAAGTATCTGGTGTGGAATAGTATCTAACCTGACTGTACTTCGTACGGGCATACTTGTAACCGATCGGATGGAGAAAGAGCTTTGCGAAATATTGTCGTATGTTCCTTCACCACATTCGCTAATTGATGGAGCATAACCATTTCGCTGCTCAGCCAAAGAGGGCTGTACCGAAGAGCATCGATCCTCTCTGAATAATATTCCATAAGACTCAATGAGGAAGTACTCACGGGTTGACTGATTGCGTATCCTCATCACGAATAGCCGTCAATTGGCTGATAATGTAACGCATGCCATCAGGATGATCTAGATTACCACTACGGCGGAGGGGATCAGTAACGTATTGTAACTGAAAAAAACTTATTTTTCCACAGTTATCGTGAAACAATAGTCATATTTGTCTCAAAAACTGTAAATCAACTGACCTGATCAATAATAGAAGACAGCCTATACTTTCGTGTTAATTTCTGGAGCTCTGTCATATGCACGATTTGCTGAAGCCTCTCCGCTTCTGATTCGAGCATTTCTCTAGCGGCTGATTGCGTGTCTTTGTTCTGACATAAATTCCTCTGATCAATTTCCAACATACGGATAGTTTCTCGTAGCTGAAAATATCAGTTTGGTGAAAATCAAAATACTTTCAAGTCACTTCATTCATAGTTTTCCCTGTTTCTAATTTTTGCTGATTAGCTGAAGCAGTAATTTCTTTGATTCTGTCGTTCAAACGATCCATCTCATTGGTGTAGAACTTTTCACACTCCTTGTAATGCTGTTGAACGGACTGCATCTGCTTCTTCTCTTCCTCAGTGTTCTTATCTGTTCTCGCTGAAAGAACGAGTCCTAAAAGGAATACGTGTAAGACACCAAGCACAGCATTTCAGTTAGGTGATACTCCAAACATCCGTAACATTGGACAAAGAAAGTAAAACCAAAGTAATACCTCTTTCACGATCCATATTCCATAAAATTTGATCAGCTTTACGAGCTTCCTTGGTTAGCCGTAAATCAGTCTTGATTCTCTCCATTTCAGATTCCAAATCACAGATTTTAGTTCCTTGTTGCTTCAATTTCTCAGAAGATTCAACCAGCTCTTTGCTCTTGATATCAAAAGTTTTTTTCTCATCGGTGTTCTTCTTTTCCATTTTAGTTAAGCTCTCTTTGTGATTGTCACGCTCTCGTCGAGCTAGCACCAACTTGAAACGATATAATACGTAAAAAGCATTGGTATTTGAGGGATACCTGCGAATGAAGAGATTTGTTGGTATCTTCCATTATTCTCATTCTGCTGGAAAACTTCTGCTGAACAGCATCCATTTCCACACTGCGAATTTTTTCCGTTTGTCTTGTTTTGTGTTGGAAGCTATCTTTATCCTTCTGCCAACTTTGTTTTATTCTATTCAATTCATCTCGCAGCTCTGCATTCGAAATTTTCACTTCTTCTAGCTTAGCTTCAGAGTCCGAGTTCTGGAGAAAAGATGCTTAAAGAACTGAAGAAAAAATGGGATAACCTTCTTTTCTAAAAGAGCTATCTGTTTTTTCAAATCTATTATATGGACTCGGTCGCTTTCATGTCGGCTCAATTTAGTGGAGTCAGCTTTATCAGAATCATTAGATTTTTCTGAATCGAGTGGATTATTGGAGACGAGAATAAAAAACAAATTACCTAATTCGTCGTGTTCACTTCCTTCACCGTTCTTTGAAGCTGCCAGTTGTTTTTTTAACGATACAATTTCACGTTCAAGTGCCGCTCTGTCTGATTTCCAGGAAAAATCTTTCTTCCTCAAATCCTCAGTAGTGGATTCTTAAATACGTTTTGTGAAATATTTGAACCTGTAGCTCTCACTTAGTAAATCTTCAGCGTCGTCGGCAATCTTCTTCAATGCGACTACTTCATTCTTATTCCGGCTTCTCTCGCTATTCATCTTTTCGCGCTCAGCATCAAAAATGCTTTCTAACTTCTTATACTTTATTTCGAACTCCTTAACTGCTTTTTTGTTACTATCCATATCCTGAAGAATTGTTTAATTGTTTCAAGTTGATTCCACACCACACCTGAATATCTTTCTTCTGATCATCAAATTCCTTCTGTAATCGATTCAGCCTCTCTTCCGTCTCCTCTAAGCCTTTCGATTTCTCCAAAAGAGCTGATGACCTAGATTGCAGAAGCTGCTCCAGTTCTTCCAGTTGCCTTTTATTATCAGTCAATCGTAAGTTTAAACTTTTTATCTGAAACACTCAATAGCTCATAGAGAATTTTAGAAAAATTTACTTCATTTTCGAAGATTTGTCTTTGTTTTTCGATTTCAATCGTCCATCTATCTTCCGTTTGTAAAACCTGGATTGAAAAAATTTAAAGTTTTTTAGAACTTTTAAAACAAACTTGATTGGTCAAATCTTTGTTTTTCTTTTTGTAAAAAATGATTTCGTTCTGTTGTTCTTCAACGAATTTATCATTTTCTTTACATTTTTTACATTCTATAGGAACAGGTGTGTTCAGCATTTCTCGTAATGGACTTCGTCTCATCAAAACAGTTGGATCGGAAGACTAAATTCAGACAAAGTTATAGTATTACTTTCTACATTTAAAACCTTGATAGTATCCATAACTTTATGAACATTCTTCAATTCTTCCATCATATGGGCCAGTTCTGCAATGATTGTTGCCCCACTGTCTTTAGAAAGAGAACGACGTCGATCATCCTACAATTAATAATGAAGACGTGAGAATAATATGTGGACACACCTTTTGTGATAAATCCATTTTTTCCACCTGTTTGCTTATCCGCACGGTTTGTAACTCAATCGAGCCAAGGACCTCACAGACTTGCTCAATCTGAAAAAAAAGTTTTTTTCAATAGTAAAAAAAAACCATGGTGCAATAGAAACGTTTAATGTGAACTGCCGTTCAATCATTAAACAATCTTTCAGGAGAGAATTGCCATAAGTCAGTTGTTAAGAATTGATGAAACAAATGGGGCTTCGTTATGTGTTCTTGGGGAGATATATACCTCATCACTTGTCGGAACTTTGCCTTGTAGTTCCTGAATAGTATTATAGGCTTTCTTTTCACTCAGCTGCTTTTCTAAGTTCTCTACTTTGAGCTTCAGCTCATCCTAAATAGAAGTCAGTGATCCACAATGATATTTCAATACCCACCATATATTTTGCAGAATCTCCCTCTTTTGCTAATTTTTTGTGAAGTGTATTGCAACGATCATTAGCCATGGACAGCTGGTTGTTCAGTTGTTCAATCTATTAATTGATAGTTCATGAACTTATCACTCTTATAATAGAAATAATCTCTTTGTAAACGCATACCTTAGTCGCTAGGGAAATTAGTTTTTGGTTGTCAGTTTTAAGCATCGTTTGTTTTATTTCATGTAATTCAATTTCAGTGGCTCGACGCTTTTCTTGTTCGGTACGAAGCTCAGATGAAGAAGCTAAATTGACTCATTATGTTTCTCACTTGTCTTTAAAACCTGTGTTATTAGATGATGCTTGAGTTTTAGATTCTTGATTTCTAAGTTGATGTGAAAGCTCTAAATTTCTGCGCTCCAAATCACTAATGGTTGCCAGCATCTTGCTCATGTCCTGTTTTACTTCTGCCGAAAGCTTAAAAAAAAGAGTTACAGATGAAAAAAAACAACCACCACCTCTCCACCACATAATCGGACTCCCTCCTCGATGCGCTTCGTGTAATCTGTTTCCAACTCGAGAATCCTTGAAGAAAGAAAAAATGATAATGCAAGAAAGTTGAATAAACTTCTTGGTGAGGTGGTCGTTCGTCTTTTCGAGCCTTTCGACTTTTGATGTCAGATGTTCCACTTCGTGTTCCGCCAATTCCAACTGTAAGTGAGCATTCCCCTCGCTGAAATTGGATTGAATCATTTATACTATCTTGTAAAACGATCACTACAAACAAACATGAACAGGGACAGGGGGGGATTTGACAACGACCATTTTTCGGCTTGGAGTTTTTTTAAACAAATTCGTGCAGTAATGGCTTGATGTTAGGGATTAACACAAATAATGTGTTGAGAGGATAAAACAACATAAAATAACAAACAGACGAACATTGACTACACATGCTGCTACCCACCTTGCCGATCGAACCATTGGTGGCCGAAGCTTGGCTGATTTAGATAATTTTTTCAATAAGGATTCGTTCTCTGCCTCCATTTCCTTCAATGAAAAGAAGTGATACCGATACTAAGAGAATTGGCTACCTGAAGCCGACTTTGCGTTCTTTTGAGGTCCTCCTCAGCATATCTTAACTGCTCTCTAATATCAATTTCTCTCTCTAAAGCATCGCGCAGTTCTTTACTCATGTCTCCATCGGGCAAAGTGATTGAAGTTGATAATTCAGCTGATAATCGTTTCTTCAAAAAGGAAAAATATTTGCTAGAAAATATATAAAACACAAACCACGGCATTGTCTGTACGGTTTCGAGCCTCTCGCCATTTACTTTGAGTTTGCAACTCTCGAACTTTCTCTTTCAAGTAAAACACTTCATCTTCCAATTTATATCTGAGAAATATCTCAAGATAAATTAGAAACACTGAAACAAACCTTTTTTCTTCAGTCTGTTCCAACTCATTATGTAAACGAACTGAAACCTGAAAAAATAGATTTAGAAAACGCGTTCGGTACTGGTGAACAGCCGGCTTCCATTGAAAAAAAAATTAAAATGAAATGAACAAAAAATTGACGTGGCATTCACGTGAAAACGTGTATTCACGTCAAATATAGATTACGAGTGAAGAAGTTATATTGAACTCAATCCAGATAAGGTTTTGAAGTAAAGTGAGTTATTCATGTACGCATATTGATTGCGTATTTTAGTTAAGACAGTATGACAGCCAATAGAAGACTCGGTGTTAATCAACGAGTCAGTGTAACTATACTAACCTCTTTGGCGATTCTAAGCTCTGATTCGAGTTCTTTGATTTTGGTGGCCTCTGTGGGAGCTGGTATTACTCCGTTTTCACCAGATGTTCCTTTGAGATCCTTAAATGAATATTTTGAACAAATTCTTGTAAAGATTCAGCACCTTCAGCTTTGTTTCGGCTTGCATTTTTTCAGTTTCGATTTGTTCTTTTTGGCGTTCAGCTTTGCGAAGTTTAAATTGCAGAACCCTGCAGTTTTTGGCATTCTGCTCTAGTTCTCTTTGCAATTCACGAAATTCTTCGATTTCTTCTTCTCTATATTGATCCTTAAAGACAGATTTCTTTCGGCTCTGTTGTTTTACTTCAAGTTACCTGCATTTCTTCAATTTCATGTTGTAAATCTTTGACTTCAGCTTTTAGCACTTCGTTCTCTTCCATCAACTCATCACATAAAGATTCCGTTGTTTGGATTTTCTCTTTCAGCTTTTGATCAGAATTTGAGTAGGTGGTTTCCTATGAGTCAAGGCATCATGATTAGTTGACTATGAGTAATATACCTGAAGTTCGCGGAGTTCACACTTCAGGACTGTGTTTTCATCTCTGTAATCCTGAATGCTGTTTTCTGCTTCATTTAGCCTATCTTCCAGCATTTGAACCAAGCTTTGTTCAGACTCATCTTTCGGACGATATGCTCTCCGTTTGGCGACTTCTTCTCTGTGATCCTACAAAATCGTTAATTCTACTCATTTCATTAGTCTCACAGGAATACCTTCAGCTGCCTATTCTCTTCTCGTAATCGAGTAACTTCTTCTTTCAAACCCAAAAGAACGGATTGCTGAAAAAAATCTTTTTATTAACCTCCTATTCATCATATTCCTTTATTTTTATTCGGACGTTGTATTTTGCCGTGATCGACCAAAACAAGAACAGTTGTCCTTCTTGTCCTTCTCTTCGTCAAAACCCTCATTTAATTTCTCAGCTTAACCAGTAAGCCATTCAATGAAATCAATTGATAAAAGCCGCAGAGAAATCAACAAGAATATGAACAAGGGTAATGGAAAATGTTTTGAAGCTTACGTCATCTTCTGTAGGTGTCATCGCTCGTTCCTCTTCGCATATCGATCCACTGATAGCCGTTACCATACTTTTAGTATCGTTTATAGATTCTTGGGATTTTATAGAGGAGAACCCTTTGGAAGTTGCTGATAAATAGGAAGAAACAGACAGAACTTCTGCATCGTCAGACACAGACACTGAAGAAAAGCAAATCATATACAGCTTTCAGCTTCAATGCAGAGAATATTATGGAAAAATGCTTTTTACCTTCATCCGGAGCTCCATTATCGGCTATACGATCCTTCCAGCTCTTCCTCCTTTCTTTTTTCTGCTGTTGAACTTGCTGAACGTTCAAAATAACGTCATCATGCTTGTCCTGAAGCTTAATATTAAAAACATTTCTTCTGAGAATCTTACTTTATGCCTAAAACATCTTCTACATCTATCTTTTAAATAATTCTGTGGCTCGAAACCCAAACACAAGTCAGCCATGCTTCGTGTTAGTCTTCGTTTAGCCGAAGGACTGGACGTCCAGAGATTCAACTTCGGATATGCTCTATCAACTGACTTCTTCTTCTTGTGTCTAGAATGATTAGCCACAAATCGTAGCGGCTCTGAAATTAAAAAAACTGTTCTAAAGGATTATGTTTGCCAAAGATGAGTTTGTGTGCCAATGGATTGACCTTAGCAAATTCCAAAAATCAAGCTGATCGAACAAATGTTGAAAAAACTCTCTCAAATAACAGAATTTCACATTTTACATTAAACTACTGAATTTTCATGGATTATTTGAATTAATCAGCGAATTCTCTGTAATGAAACAGAAATTTCTATTTGTTTTTTCTTGTAAAACTTCAAAGTTTAGAACAGAGAGTGGAGAAAGACATGGCAAGCAATTGATGATTTTATAAAAAAATTAAAAGAAATGGAAGAAACAGTGCAGTCCAGCTTTCTTGGCAAATACAACATGTGTCATTAGTGAGAAGGAAAGTCAGAAGAGATGCACTTGATTCTGAGGATATTTCCGGACTTGCACTGGATTTGCTGGAAATTTTGATAGAAGACGAAAGAAATCAGGCAAAAAGAAGAATGTTTCAAATATGATGACGTCTGTGATAAGGAAAGGGATAACGGAAAGATTATGAAAAAAAGAAGAAGAAGAGAAGAGAAACGTTTTTCGATAAGTTCAGCTGTAAAAGAAACGAACACCTTCAGTTCGTTGAAGGTTTTGGGAATCAAAAAATGGCACAAAACAGAAATGTTGATGTTCAAACAGACGAGTTGCAAAGAGAACAGAGAGTGGGACTGTCAGAGAAATGAAGCATCAAGAGCTCTGAGAGCAAAGAAAACGAGATCTTTCAAAGAAAATAGAGGGTTGAAGGTTAGCTAAAGCACTAAAAGATATTTCATTCGATATCGTTTCCAAAGCGTACGTATTCTCATCATTCAACGGATAGTTCCGTTCTGACAAAGGCATTCAAGGTATTCATATGAAGTAAAAGCACAAAAATAGTTTTTTTTTGTCATTTTTCTGTAGTCGATCTGAAGATCTGCTGTAAAGGGGGGGGGGGCAAAGGAGTTTGAACGAAAATATCGATTGAAGGGCAGGAAAAAAGACATGAAAGATTTGCTTGAAGGCATATGGAGCACGTGTGTGTTAAATAAATTGGTTATGAAGAAATCAATGAATAGAATTATAAGAAGAACTCAAATGTTTCGTGAAGAAGGTCCATGTCGTTGTTGTAATATTCGTCTGGTCACTCGAACCTCCTCTCAATTCACCGAAATAGTAGGTAGTGGCAAGAGAGCAGCAAAGAGAGGAGGAATGATGAAGAAAGCTGTGATATGAGCACGTGTTTAGTAACAGACGTATTGAAGACTATTGTAGCTTCTACTAAACATAATATCAAAGTCAGAGAGTAAATAATGTAAACTTAGAATTTACAAAGGAATTAATGAGCCAAAGAGAAGTGCTAGAGTAAAGCTGAGGTGTTCCACTTCAAAACTATTATTTATCAATAAAAAGTAGACAAATTGCACATAAAGCAAAAACTCATTCATAAAATATATACAAAAAAATAGAAAAATTCCAAGAATCCTGGCAGCTACTCTGTCAATGCTAGGAGTTCGTGACATGCCGTTCGAAATCGAACCCAGTCATCGTCTGAGATTGATTTTGATTGCCAAAAAATTATTTTTGTCTATATGAGTGCCTTCAAAGCCGCCGGGAATGAAATTCATTATTTTCAAGCTCTTCTTCTCTTATAGCCAAATTGAAATCATTGATAGGTATGAAAAACATTCTTATAGTGATAGATGGAGGGAATGGAAGAGAGAGAGAGAGAGAGAGATGAGAGATTGACAGAGATGTGTTCCCTTATCCAGGTTAAACGGCAACACCTTCATATGATTATGATTACAAAGAAATAAACAATCGGTTTTGACGCTAAGCTTCTGTTCTAAAAGAACATTTCCTTCTAAACTATCATACTCGAACTAACATCGGACTAAAAACAGGGAACAGCTTACTTGGTAAAAGCCTTCGGAAATTAAGCTGACGATTTATGGACGAATTATGTCGTTCGTAACATTGACGGCCAACTAACTAACAAATCGTTGTTGGATGACTGTTTTTTAGTTTTCTCTTTGTATTTATCATTTCTCTCTAATGCTTCTCCCGCACTTCCCTCTTGCTCACATTCAAGCATTTAACCTCTCAACAACTACTTTTAAATGATTTCTGTCTGATTCTTTACCAACATTTCGAACACGAACTTCCCATAGTTATAAGCGTGACAAAGCAATACAAAACATTTCTCTTATAAATTTGTAATTGCAGCCTTTTGGAAGAACAAAAAAAGGAAGAAAAATACATATAGAAGAGAGAGAATGACTAGTTATATGTAAAACTTACTACATTTATTATGAATAATCTTCTGATATCGATGCCATTTGGCTGCCAAGTATAGACGAAAACGAAAATATGCAAAGACCAGAACCATTCTGAATGAACTTTCGAATTAAATGGGAAATGCCTAATTATGATGAAACTAAGATAAGTTGCTGGACGGATGACAAAAAACCAAATGAACGTCATATATGAAAGAACAATTACATTTTGTAGTTTGAAAGATCAATTAGTTTAGTTAATATTAGAGAGCAAGAAAAAAAAAGAAAAAAAAATGAGAAAATAAAGAAATTCGGCTTATTTCTCCAAGTTTCCAAAAGCTTTTCCACGTAAGCTTAAAGAATGCCAGTCGACAAAAACATTTGTAAAAGGGAGAAACTGAATAATGATGGTCAAAGGAATTGGAAGAAAAAACAAAAACGAAAAGGAAGGGTGCAAGGGGGAAAATGATGTGGAAGAAGTTGAAAGAGAGTTTCCAGAAGGCACAACCGTCTTTGGCGCTAAAATTGTCATAAATAACATGTAAGCCAAATACACGTAAATCCTCGTAAATCGCGTGTAATTTACGTGAGTCTCACGTGAAATACGTAAATATGACTTAAAATAATGAAATTCCATGAACATAGATGGAAAACACAGCCAAATGAATATTAGAGCTTTGGTGAAAGAAACAAAAGGTTATTTCATAAATTGATCGTCCTTTTCAGGAAATTGTGTCTCGTTTTTCTAAATCTCTCATTTCTTTCCCTCTTTTGATAGCTTCTTCTCATTCTCTCTCTCCGTTCTCCAATTTTTTTAAAGATTTTTTGGTTCAGCGAGCAGGTAGAAGGGGTCGTTTGTCCAGTTGTTCGTCGATTTTTAGAAAATCTACCATGCATAATGGACGAAGCTTTTATTGATGTATTTTGAACTTGTCATGCTTACAGCACTTGAAAATATATCAATCATTACGTTCTAATAAGGAAATTAAGACAGAAAACACCTGATGTTCGGACATCTCCAGTTTGTATATTCGAGAAGTCCGTCCGTCTTCTCAAATTCCTTTGAAACGTTTTCCTTGTTTACAAGAAAGTTGAAGCATTTTCATTAGTTTAGAGTAGGTGTTTCCAAAGATTCTAAAGATTCGGAAAACAGAAAGGCACAGACCTGACGATTACAAGCGGTTTCGAGTGTGAAAGAATTATTTCGTTAAATTAACTATGTGGGATGAAATGAAGGAAAGAAAGGCAAATGATTGGAGGGGATTATTGCCTAGGGGCTTAACGAAACACGAAGGCAACATAGTTCTCGTATCACATGAACAAGATGAACCATATGATTCATAAGAAGTGTTACATGACACATGTATCAAATATAGATATACGACAACCAGAGTATGATTCAGCTCATCATCTAATTGACCATCTCTTTACAACTCTTTGTGACTAGTAGAATCTCAAGAATTTTGGTTTACCTCACTTCTTCATTTGTCTTTCTCTCTCTCTCTAACTCTTTTCCTCATTGAGTCCCTTTCCGTTTTTTTTTCATTTTTGGAAGGAACAGATGCTTTTTCAATTAATTTCATCGCGATCCGGAAATATGTGCGTGAAATAAAAAGCAAACATTCCCATATGTCATGTATTCTTTTGAAGTCCAGACATTATGATTTGCTTCCCTTAGAGAAAATCAGACATATTTTCTTCTCAAATTTTCTTGCTCCACTAGGCGGAGTAATGAGTTGTTAAATTTCTGATGACGACGTCGGAGAAAAAAACTGACAGAACGTGCGCTGAAACAGGAAAGAAAACGCAAAAAGAGCACATGTTTTTGAACAAAAAAGTTCAAAACAGAGAAAGAGAAAGAGAGTGAGAGAGTGAGAGAATGAGAGGAGGAACAGAAAAAAGAACTTTGCGACTCACCTACAAGAACCACTGAGCGACCGGTCAGAGTATATCCGGAACTGTTACTGTACAAAACATCTTGTGCTGTTTATTTTCATTAACGAACATGATTCACTTCTCTTTTCTTTTATCTGAACTGATCAACTGTGGTAAATGGACTTTCTTTGATCTAACCAGATGTTTTTTGAGCTCAAGAGCCGAATTCCGAGAATATTTCGGAAGTCATGCAACTTACCGCCTTAGCTCTCATGAAGCATCTCCTTCCTAGCAAGCGGGGGTGGTATATGGACAGAAGATTTTTTCTCAAAGGGATAATCATTCTAAAGATAACGGTTTTCGCTTATCCCTCCTTGTTTGTTCAGCTCTCTGGTCCATTTCTGAATGCGTATGCTTCCAATTATTTCATACTTTGATGAAACTTCCTGTTTGAGCCTGCTTGTTTCAAACTTTGGACTATTTCAAAATCTTAGTAAGCTTAGTTTCCGTCATAGAATTTTTTCTCGCCGCATTTAATTGTTTTCTTAACTTCCTTATCTCATTCTCTTCTGCTCGTTAGCATCTCTCATGCTCCCGCTCTCCTCGGTTCCAATCCTTCAGTTTGCTTCTCCAGAACTCTATCACTCATTCTCTCCGACTGTCCAGCACTCCGCCTTCTTTTTGCAAACCTAAACGGACGACATAAGACTGACAGTCGAGCACGTTGTCTTTTCATGTTGTTCTCTACATCTCTCTGTTTTCTCTTTCTCTTACCTCTCTCTCGTTTCCATCTTTTGACTTTTTCTATTTCTCGTCTAACACAATCTCGTCATGAAATCGCGCAAATCAACGTCTTTCGTCCCTCCCCTTTTTACCTAAGGCATTTGCTTCCGTCTTTTGAATAGCGTCGGCACGTTTATTCTCAATACCTCCTTCTCAATTTCTTCAGATTGTCGTGAGCAATTTTAGAGATCTTCATCAACTATTTCATCATTCTCGAATATCCGAAGGACTACAGAGCTGTCGATCATCGACAGTCCATCCATTTGATTAGAAATCATTCATCATGAGTATGAGAATGGCTTTCAGGTGATTTTCTCGAAAACCTCTTCAACTGCTTTTCTTTCTTTAATTTTTTTCTTTTTATTCGCACTATATTCTTACTTTCTTCCTTACTTATTTTTTCTTGCTTGTTCTTTCTTTACTTTTAGCTTTAAATCCTTCTGTTACTATAAGAGTGCTTCCACAACCATTAAATTCTGATTGAATATTTTAGAAAACGTGAAGAGAATAATACAGGCCGGATGGGGGCCATGTCACGCGCCAGTCTTGTACATGGCACGAATCATACTATGAATGATACATGGTATGACGTAGATTCATTTTTATTGGTTAGTTTCTTTATTTCTTTTGAAGTATTTTTTTAAGTTGAAAATTGTTTCATTCATCTACCCGATACCAAGCTTTATCCTCTTCTGCTCATATTTCCATTGAAGTCCGATTTCTTTTTTGTCCTGACCAGCTCGGCTACCGAAGAAGTGGGCCAACAGTTGTCCTATTCTTTTCAATCATTTATAAGCTGAAGAAGAAAAGTAGAAACGTTGTTAATAAGCACTTGAAAAGAAAAAAAGCACGTTTAAAAATCATTTTGATTATTCCGGTATTTGCCTTATAGATTAGGGGAAGAAGAAACTTGCATTATCATCACCTACAACATCCATTGAATACAAGTCCTTCTATTCCATTCATCCAATTCAGGTTGCAAACAAATTTTTGTGAGCTCACTTTTATTGACCTTCCTCTTTCCCAATATTTTTCCTTTCCAAAACATTTTCAAGTCTCAGTTTGTTCTCTAAGTGTCATAAGACCAACACGTAGAAAAAAAGTGTTCAAATAAGGAAAAACCTTTATGAAATCCCGTGAGAAATCTTGTTTTCTCGTATGTTTTTATGTAAAACCTGCTCCTTGAGCAAACAGCAGTCCATAATGGGCACTGAAATTACCTGACTGTAAGTGGTCATTATGAATCAGCTTATACGAACAGTCGCCCTTTTCATACATTTGACGTTTTCAAAGAAATACTGCTTAAGACCAGATTCCGATTATGAAAGCGGAGAGCATTTCTTCACAGTTTATTATAATATATCATCTTTAATATTTGGAACCATTTCGACCAGTCCATCAACAATCAGAAGCATAAAAGTATTAATGACGGAAGTCGCATCAGTCGAATAATCTCCAAACATCATTTTAAGACGATTAGAAAAAATGAGGAAAACGATAGATGCGAACTGAAACAGTTTCCGGATACGAGACTGTTGATAATCTAGATGATTTCCGGACATACTTTCTTTGGCAAAAAAATTGAACACACACATAGTCATTCTTTTCTCTCTCTTTTCTCTCCCTCTTCTTATACCGTTTTAAAGAAAATATTTTTTTCTCTCCCAATTGCCTCATCATCAAGCAAAACTAACGGCTGTCGTTCTCTATTTACATTTGACCGATACTTCTTTTCGTTTAACTTCTTTTTATATCTTTCCCTAGCATATTGTCTCTCATCAAAACACACTATGTGCAGACATTCTTTCTCATTATTTGTATAAAGACCTCCAGTCTTTCTTCATGAAAATGGCCGATGACAAGACAGTTAAGAGCAGAAAAAGAAGGGGAATGAGAGCATCCTCAGCATTGCAATAGAGCGACTTTTCATTTTTCCATTTCGAAAAGATCAAACTACAAACATAAACTTCCTGCGGTTAATAACACATATTTGATTCTTCTCAATTATTAAACAAATACTCATCTTCTTTATTATAATCTCCTAATGGACTGAGAACCGTAAAGCAAATCGCACAAAAAGTTGTTCTGTCGATACAGAATTTGTGAACATTTTGACGGACGAGAAGCTGTAGACCATCGTCCGGAGAAACCGGAACTCATTCCGGAATCGCTCTATCATTCTCTCGTTAGCTCCTGTCTTAAAGCTCGAGGCTTTGCCCACTGTATGTATATTAGTCAAGACGATTGACGATTTATTAATTTGACGGCTGCAAACCGGTGTTCATAGACGTGTTGATTGAACAATCTGCTTTCTTCCCGGAAAAGTTCTTCTAATTTTTAAGGGAAAGCATATAAACATATATATTTATATCTGAAAAGTCATTTACTTGCACCAACTCACGGTAGATTCCACGTAAAGTCTCACGTTCACTTTACGTGAAACTATCATTTCATTTACCGTGGCATAGTAACAAGACACGGTTGCACATGTGCACAGTGAGCATTATCTTTTAAAAATAAATGATTATAGGATCAAGCCAAAGAAGTTCTCAATAAACTTGTAGATGGTTCGATTGATGATGAAATCTGGGGTAAAATAGTTGTTATGGAAAGGTTATCGCAAAGTTCAGTTCAATAAGGCTTTTATTTGTTTTTAGATGTAAAAGAGTTGCCAAAGCATACTTAAGGAAAACAACAGTGATTGTTGATGGTTCAGAGGATGAATTTGATGGCAAAACACTTGGATTTAATCATTTTGATAATAATGATAGAGATGAACACACAAACGAGATTCGTTCCAAAATTGGAGATGTAAGTACAGCCTTACTGTTCCATTACTGTATTGTTGTTTCAAGGGTGTCATATTGAAAATGGATTTACAAGGAAATATAAAAGGAATGGCTAGAGGTATGGATGATAGTTTCTTATGATTTCTTAACATATATATTATCATAGGAACAATCCCCGTAATAACTCAAGGATGGCGGGGTGAAAGGAATAATTGTATATCGGATCGGTTGATCCGTCAACAAGGACGTTTAAATGCAGGAGAAGAAGAAAAAGCCTATAAAGTGAGTTTTATCTCTTTCATATGGCTTATCTTATCTTATTGTAGATGTTCGATATGAAGAAATTCAAATACTGCCTTGAACGGGAGCTTCATGATGGCATACCTGACCCTAAACAACTGCTCCTTAAGACGTGTGTTCGTGTTGCTTTAGTTAAGGTATTTGAATCTGAGTTGCTTTTAATATGAACTTTATCCAAATAGGATGGAAATGACATGGCCAGAACGCCTTGTTGGTTCGCAATTGTAAATTTAGTAGCTTTGGATATGTTACGTGAAAAGATCCCAAATATAAGGAAATTAGGTTCGATTTAGTGATCTGATGTTTGTCATACATTTATGGTCTTCAGTCAAAGCGGATGTTCTATCGACATCAGTTCCGTCTACACAATCTTCTAACTCTGCAATCTCACAGGAAGCTTTGACACATATTATTGCGGCTGCTGTTAATCAAGTCAATAATGGGTTTGTCGTAAGGTAATTGAATACAAACTATTAGTAATCTTTCAGACGAACTGTAAATCCTGCAGAAATAGCACAATTAGCTAGTTCTTTGAATTTCTCAACAAATCTTAACGAAACGATAAGTAAATCCATTAGAAGGTGTGTTCCTTGATTGAAACAAACTTAATATTAGATGTTTCAGTAATGATATACCTAAAAGGAAACATTACCATTGCTCTTCATCATCTTTAGACTCATCAGGAGAAGATACTACCAAAACAGGCCGAAGGTTCTATTTTCATAAACTTTATTGCAACTCATGCTTCTTCTTTACAGATGGGAAAATAACCAAAAGCTTTATGAGAGTTTTTATGATAGTGGAATAGAAAAAACACGTGAAAAAGAGGTTTTTTGTTTTCGTTTATCTCATCTCACCCTTTTTAGAAAAAGAAAACGGGTCGTAATGCTCCAACATCGAGACCTCGACTGAGTGATGTCGTATTCACTAGAAGTCATTCGATAACTTCAGATTACGATTCAAATCGTGAAGTTTTCGATTCTGGCAGCTGGAGTTCAACAAACAGTAGAGGATTTAAAGTAAGGCCTCAAACTACGAATTCCGTAACCTTTTCATGTTTTCTAAATGCCTTAAACCAATCGCTTCTAACGTATCCTCTATTTGTTTTTCTAGACTCAGTCAACTGCTTCTTCACTTGTGTCGGAAACAGAATTGGGCAGTACAGTCAATGAGCATGGACGGGCTCACCTCGCAGATGTAGTTGATACACGAAACATCCATATCGACAAGTATGGAAAGAGCATTGATGACGAAAGCGATTTATCACTTCATTCGGGTATTTTTTAAATTTATTTAAACAGAACATCATGCGTGTTGTGGGAATAACGTTTAACAGACTTGGTGTATACCCTCAGCTAATCCTATTTCAGTTGTCTCTAACACCAATGATTCGAGTGCTCCAAGTCATCATCGTTCAACAACAGAAATCCATATTGGATCTTCAGAGGATTCTGAGCAAAAAACAGATGAAGATGAAGGAGAAGAAATGAATGAGTCCGCTGAAGAATCATGCGATACTCGTAGCAATTCGAGTGGTCAAGTGGAAAGATTGCGAGAAGCTTCATCTCGAAAATCAGCAATTGAAGAAGGGACTGAACAATCAATGATAGGTATATATCTTCATAATGATTTGAAATATATAACTAAATAATAAGCATAACAGGAGATCAATGATAATTAGATGGATAATCGAGTAACCATAACATTATAATAATATTATTAATAGAATCAATACTGATATTCTGTTTGATAGCCTAACTATTACTATCAGCGTTTTGATAAACTAAACTGCTCTAAGTTCCAAAACAATAACTAAGCTTATAAGTAAATGCTTTTATGTTCTCTTATGTTTCTTTTTAGATGCTCATCATCAACAGATGCCAAAGTAAGTTGCATGGCTTTCTACCAGTCCCCTTTTTTTATTATAAAACCGAACTACTTCCAACCGAACGCTCATTTGAGAACTGATAATTTCATTCAACCCAAAACTTCCGTTTGCTACCGCTTTTTTAAATATGCTTATATAACATTTTTGCTTTTTATAGCTTGAATGGCTCAGAACCACACCGCAGTCACGAGGTAATGCTTTCGCTTTGCAAACTAGAAAGAACTTGTGTTTCCTCTGCACTTCTTGTAGCCGATACGTCACTGAATCATTAACTAAACTAACATCTTTACATGTGTTGCATGATTTTTTAGTTTAACTAATCACAAACTAGTTGATGATGAACGTTATGCATGAAAAGCAAACTTATATTTGGTCATAGCTTACCTTCTGATTTCTAGCCAATTTACGAGAAACGCAGCTCGGCGCTGGAAACCCAAGTTCATTACGAACCAGGACGCCAACACAGACTTCCACGGTATCCCCCAGTGCGTGGGACACCAACCAGAAACAATGGAGCGAACACCTCAACAAGTTCCAGAAAGCCCTTCTTCAACGAACTCCGACAGGTAAAAATTTGCGTCAACCTTTAATACTGAAATTTTCTTAGGTCCTTCATCAACGGTCCGGATCCCCAGTTCGACGAGGAACACCGATCAGGACAATTCAGGAAGAGGGAGGACGAGCTCAGAAACCAGAGTTTGCCAAAATGGGCCTCAACCGCAGTTCAGAGATGGGGAACGGAGTCCTTCCAAAGCAACATCCCGCAGCACAGAACGACTCAGCAGTATCAGCCAGCCGTCAACTGTTGGCCGGAAGCAGTTCCGAATGCGTCAACAACTCATCGGATCCCAACAACCGGGATGGGACGAACCTATATGGAAGCATCAGCCATTATGGACCGATTCCAGCCAGAGGGCTCCGACGAACCAGCACAAGTATTGCACACTACGCAGGCCAGCAACAACAGCAGCAGTCATCACATCAGCATCCACAACAAACCTATCGATACCGATATCCAGCACAAGCCATTTATCAGAGCAACAACCCCAACCAATCTATTATGCCCAGCAGTACGGGAACCCACGTCAGTTGCATGGCACAGTCCGCCACAACCGGAGTCGGACAATCAGTGGCCGGAGCAGTCAGATGCAGCAATGGAGCCATCCCAGCAAATCCATCAGCAGCATCAGCTCACCGCATTACGAGAACTGCCTCACTTCCATGGACCGGATCACATCATCCCACCCAACAATCAGCAATGCACAAGCCTCACCAATATCAGAGGCGAAACATATAATTCGGCTGATGGTCGATTAAACTTAGATGAGTTGTTTGATGATTTGCCGTCGCTGAGCGTATAAATGACCTTACTCTACTTATACTGTTAGCATTAGAAAGTATTTCTCTTAATTTTAATAATAATCTATTCTCTCTTCCATTTCTTATAACTTATTATGCATCTTCTTTTCCCACAATTTTATTATTCCGGTTTATCTTCATTATCTGCTCAACTTATAATCTTCACTTGTCTATGAAACCTAATTTAAAGGACTAAAAATATATCTACCGAATTATTCGAGTGAGTAGACGCAACGACTTTTCGAATTACAGAATGAGCTTTGAGAGCTCACCTACCAATTCTTCTGTAATCATTGAATCAACAAAATTTCTCTAATTTAGTGAACTTTTCCTGACTGTTTTTTTGTTTCAGACCTGTGGATATAACCGGTTAAGGATTTTGTCATACATCTTCTATGTGACAAAATACCTGACGTAATCGTTACTGTTTTCTCTTATAAATTACCCAGAAAATAGATTTTCCAATCTACTCTTTCTATATCTGTATATAATGTCTTTTTTTTTATTATGATCTGTGTATATCATCATTCTCTAATAAATTCTGTATATTATCAACAATAGTATTGATTGAGAACAAAGTGCAACTCTTTAGGCGCCAAATCATTTTACAATAACATGACGCAGAGCACGGTTGCATTCCAAATTTTAGATATTTTTTTGAATATTTCTACATGCAGGAATCGTTTTTTCCTATCTAAGAGGTTGAAGAAAAGGAAAAACGAAAGCGAAAGGTTTCCATTTACGTGTAATCGCATGAATCTAGATGAAATGCGTTTTCGTAAATGAAGAATTCCAATCTGGGAAAATGGTGATGAATACAAGCTGGTTCAAAATAAGATTTGTAAACTCCCGTTTGTGTTTTAATATGCATGCATATACCTTCAGTTAATTTTCTTTCTTGCAACTATGTTTTCAATTTGTCTATAGCGTATTTCATGCGGTTCTTCCGAGAAGCTGTTTTAGCATTTAAAACAGGAACACTCATCGAAAGCTGAAATAACATAGGATTGTTTGACAGAAAACAAACAGCTAAACGACACCTTCGAAGAGGTTGAATGGCTATAACTTCCTTCTTTTTGGAATTTTCCCCATTTAATATTATCGTCAATGACTATCCGCTGGATGTTTTTGAAATAAAATAGAGGTCTTGATGAGCAAAACGATTCCAACTGTTTTATTTTGACGGAAAAACCGGATAGGCTAGTTCTCCATTTCCACTCCGAGCTCATCTTTAGCGACGCATTGTTTTAACGCTGCTGAAGATTCGATTGTACCTTTTTTATAATTATCGAACTTTTTGTTCCTTTCTTAACATTAGACTTCATATGTTTCCTGTTCGGAAAAAGAGTGTAATATGGAAGGATTAGCACGAACGAACTTCCTATCCTCAATTTCTCTTTGAAAACTACAGTTCTGTGTCAGTGCGTTTGATCCTTTTTTCTCATTTCATCACATGCATTTTCCTTGCCGGTTATTCCGTTTCCCTTTTGTTGGACGACGGATTAGGTGATGTTGGACAGTTGTTTCGGCTTTGTTTCCCGACGACAATTCACGAAACACAGGCAGAATGTGAGATATTGGAGATGGAGAAGAGACGAAAGTGTTGAAAGAATGAATGAAGATGATGGCCAAGATGAGGAAAATGAAGAGAGAACGACAAGGTTTTCATGTACCCGATTCTAGCTCTCTAAACTGAGTTGTTTGACCAGAGTAGCCGGCGGAACAGCTCTGTCAGCTTCAGTTGAATGCCAGATGAAGCTTCGTTTTCATTTTGGAATACATAGATTTTCAAAAAATCACCAAACTTTTCATTTTTCTAATTTTTCTTCTTTCACTCAGATTCAAATCTTGAAACGCTTGACTTCGTCTTACGTCGCTGGGTTGACCCAATGACCAAGCTGTTCACAACGAATCAATTTCAACAACAACAACAACCAAAAGAAAATTGAAAATATTTATTAAATACGAAAAATAAACAAAAATCTCTTTTTGTATTTTAGTATTTCAGTCCTTTCCCGTATCCATAGTTTATACGTTTTATGGTTTGAAATAGATGGTCTCCACAATACAATTTCCTTTTGATAACAAAATTTTTGAGTTCCACTCGTAGGTGGATGACATTGCCACGGCTCTACTTCTTCATTGCAATTTTTCTCTCTTTCTATATCTATCATTTATCTCTTCTTTCAGTTTTTTTACGTTTTATTCTTAGACCTAATATGATTAAACCTGATCTCAAAACCTTTTTTTACAATTATTTTTCATATTGAGTCATATTTTTGTTTTTTTTTATTATTATGAATTGATAAGATACGTGTGGCTCTTATTGGCTTCTTCCTAGGTGTTTCGGCTCTTGTCGCATGTAAGCATTATTGAACACCTCCGTCTATTGCCAAAGCACGTGGTTTCCATGAAGAGACATATGACTAATCTTAATGAAAACTTGTTTCTCTTTCTGCCTTCGTCCGATTTATTTCCATCGACTTATGTCTTTCATTTTTCTTCATTAGGATACTATGGGTTTGGATTTGGCTACAGTCAATGTAATTCAGTTAGGAGTTGGTTTTTTCTTCAATTTTTTTGCTTTTAACTCTCAAGGTACTCATTATTATTTATTCTTTTTCTTGTCACATGTTACCTAGGCTTTATCGAGGAACCTGTGATTGATAGTCTTGCGGACCGCGGTAGCATTGGAAAGCATTCTGGATATTACAGGTAATGATCATGATTATATCAGTTTCATATTTTTTCCCAGTTTATCCATTATATATGCTGTTTTTACACTTGCTAACTTTGTGGCGGCACCTCTGGTAGAAATTTTAAAGCCAAAATGGGCAATGGTCATAGGTACGTTTGCGAAACACTTGCAATTTATAAGACTGTGTTATAAGGTGGTCTATGTTATGCTGCCTTCCAAGCTGGGTTCCTGTGGTTGAACCAAACATATCTTTTTATATCTAGTGGCTTATTAGGTTTCGGTGCCGCCAGTAAGTTCTTTGTAGTAGTTGAGTTCTTGTAAAACTTTGCTTCTAGTACTATGGACCGGTCAAGGAACATATCTTTCCCAGAACTGCACGGAGAAGACAACTGGACGTAACAGTGCTATGTTATGGGCATTATCTCAAGCATCGTAAGTGAAAATATCAGTAGGAGTTGTAAATTGTCGCTTTAGATTAGCTGGTGGTGGAATTTTTCTTTTTATAGTATTCCATCAATCTTCTACTACCGATAACATTTCTGACTCAACAGTCCATTTATTATATGCTTGTTTTACAATCCTTACACTCGTGGCTGTTTTTATCCTGGCCCTTCTCAGAACACCACCTAAACTTGATAAGCCAGTACAACCTATAGTTGGTTATGGGGAACTCATGGGTACATACCATCTACTCAGTTACTAGACTATTGTTATCTTATAGTTTCGACCTTCAAGCTGATGCTTACTAAGAAAATGGTTCTTCTGGCATTTGTTTTTGCCTATACAGGGGTTGAACAGTCTTTCTGGACAGGTATTGCATAAGTTAGGCGGTTAACATAACTTACTATTGATAGGTATTTATCCAACCTGTATCTCGTTCACTCAACGATTAGGAAAAAACACAAACTCTCTATTAGCTCTGAATTCAATTGCAGCAGGTCTGGGATCAATGCTTGGTATGCGCGACCAAGTTATTGGTTTTAAAACCTCATTTTAAGCTGGACTCTTGTTCGGAATTTTGGGAGATAGGACACGCAAAATCGGGCGAGACTCTATTGTTTTTCTTGGATGCTGTATTCATTTACTGGTATTCGTAGGAGTTTACATCAATTTCCCTGCCGATGCTTCGTTGCACAAGACAAACGCCACAGGGATCATTGAACCAAAGTTTGAGAGTGCACTCTTATTTTATACAGTTTGTTCTACTTTCAGCGTGATTCTTGCTTTGATATGTGGAGGGTTCTTAGGGTTTGGGGACGCATGTTGGAATACTCAGGTTCTTAACGTAGAATTTGCGAAATTAAGACATTTTTTTGTTTCCAGATTTATTCTTTGCTCTGTGACATTTATCCAACGAAAAGTAGTCAAGCTTTCGCTTTATTCAAGTTTTATCAAGTTTGTGTTGTCATAGATTCTCTATTGTCATTTGGTTTTCAGTCTGCTCTATCCTGTGCTGCCTTCTTCTATTCATCCATGATTTATTTAACAACACATTTAGCGATTTTGGTGGTGACTTCTCTAATAGCAGCAGTCTGTTATTTCGGTGTGGAGAGGATGGCGCGAGAGATACCTGAAGAGACATCGACTCCCAGCAGTATAGGTAACTTACAAATTTTTCTTTGCACGATAAACTAAGCAATTGAGTTTTTTAGTTGCTAACTTGACTGATAGGGAGTACAGTGAGCCTTTCCCTGAACCACCAGAGGATGCTCAATTTGGGAGAACTTACCTTTAATAATAAGAATAATTATAATTTAATATAAGTCTAGTCCTTGTTCTTTGTATATAATCTGTTTTGATGTATATATAAGCAGAATTTTTATTAATTTGCTAACTTTTAACACTAATTTGTGTTATTATGAGTGATTCTCATATACGTAAGCAGTTTGATAGTATTTAGCATATGACGTGTACTTGCGAACTGACTCCATTTCATTTTCCAGTGAGCAGAAACAAAGGACGGTTGTACATCACATCAGCTCATCCAAATTGTCACCTAAAGACGTGACTACGCATTTTTTTTCTTTAATAAAGTTTTATTATACAAAGTGTGAAAATGACAACATATTCAAACAGCAATTATGTTTGCTCGGTCTTCTCACTATCCGAATCAGCAATGTTCATCATTTTGTAAAAGAATTTCGTATGGCTCTCGCAATTTTCTAACTGTCTCTCCAATCGTGATATGTTACATGAGTCTGTTAACTGCAATGAGTGATAGGTACACTGGTATTATATTGTATTTTACCAGCAGGGAATCAAAAAAGTCTTTTGCTGTTAGTGTAACACATGGCTCATTAGTCGCCACATTTTTTTTACCCAAATATTTGATAAAACCATGGTCGTTCACGGCACTCGTTTTTTTGACTCTTATTGCACTTTCTATTCTTTCCATTAGAGCGTACTATAATTGCAAGTTATGAGAAATTAGGAACCTCACAATTTACCCGAACTATCCTATTGATCATCATCCCAGGATCACAATCGGGAAAGTGTATGTTGTGCTTCAGGCAACTCAAAATGAACAGAGCATTTATGTTGAATGGGCTAGGCAAAAAGTCATCCTGAATATAGAATATAATTAGATAATCGTCTAGCTCCGCCGAACTAACAACTTTATCCAGATACTTATACCCTGTCTTCATACTGTTTTGAGCTTTCATGACATCTTTCTGAGTGGAATGGAATTATCGAACAGATAACTGACTAACCACAACACACAAATTAACGATCAAAGAAAACAAATTCATGTGATCATCAATGGCTTCAACTGGAAGAATGCCCTCAACTTCTTTCGACAATTCTATTACTGTCTTCCATCCGTTTAGATAATCGCTGAAGCATTGGAGATATCTGAAAACAGACATAAATTATGAACAGGAAACACCTCACAGATTCTCTGTTTCTTCAGTCATATTAGACTTCAGCTTATTCCATAAAATTAAAATTTCCTCGAATTCTTTCGGGTTGAATAAGTTGGACTGCCATCTGGTGAAAAGGTTCGATGACATATGTACTAAACATTCGAATTACTATCATTTCGGGGAAGATTCATATAATGAAGAAGTGTATTCAGACACTTATGAAGAAGTAATCAGATCCGTAATCGTTTATTGAAACGTCCCGCTAAAGTATTATAATTATGAGAATAGTCTACTGTATCGAACATCAGGATAGAAATCTAAGAAGTGAAATCGATGATACACAAGATTATACAATAGATACGGACTAGCCGGCGAGTTATTAAAATAATATGTTTCTAAAACAGAGCACGAATTTACAGTAAAGTTTTGATGACTTCAATTGCAGCAGTGAACTGAGTGAACCAGTAGCCCTCAGCTCCTTCCAAGAAACAGAAGCTTTGAATGTATTGTAAGTTGGAAAATAACGCTGGTGGATTTGCCTGTATAACAATACGACAATAGTGTAGTTCCTTCTCAACTCTACCTGTATCAAGACGTAAACCAAAACGGGTGTCACATCATCAGCCGCTGCCGCACCTACACCAGGCGCCATAGAAACTAGATTACTGATTGTTTCGCAACATCTGAAGCGCATAATTGAGGAGGTAAATGATGAAGAAGAATCATACCTCACTATACAAGCTAACTTATCTTTTGCGGCTTTATAAGCATTGATAACGTTGATTTCTGCTTGTGCCGACGGCCAAGGAGCTTCTCCGTGAAGAACCTATATGGAAAAATAGACATCACACTTTTCATTTCAACTAACTCTAGGTATCCTTAACATGGGATGATCTGGGGTGATTGTACGTGCCAACCGGGAGGCAGCTTTCTGGAAGAGACTGAGAAAACACAAAAGTAAGAAAATCGAGTTTTGTAACTTACTCATCGCGATGACGATCCGCCTCGTGATTAGGGTAGAATGCTGTTACATGTATATGAGCCATGAGAACTCTCTCGAGAGCTAGACGAGAATATGTGAGCATTGAAGTGGGCGAATCACTCCACATGCTAGATTTTGTCATTCTTGTGTATAAATGGTTCAAAGTCTTCGTTAGAGCTTCGATTTTCTCATCCTGGAAAACGAGATTGACTACCCGGAAAGTCACCCGTGCAAAACCTGAGCTTTTAGTGTAGAGAAATCATGAATGAAAACTCGAACAGAACTATCTTTGTTCTCCAGATAGAAACGAATGAGCACGTCTACCAAGCAATCAGAAGTCAGGTTTCTCTCTCTAAAAAAATTCTTTATAAGAAAAAATGAATCTGTCTCACCTGGCTATTCTAGAAGATAGTCTGTCGAGATAGCTAGTCAATCTCAGTAATGTCAGCCTCGAGTTTTGAAGGTACGTAACATAAGAAGTTCTTCTTCTGTGTTCTTCACGAAGTGTCTTCAGCAGTTTCCGTATTCTGCGAGGAAGATTTTTTCAGTTTTCGAATTATTAGCGAACAATTACCCCTTAGAATCGAAGACTTGGATACACCTCATGACTTCTCTGATATGAGCAGATAAAACTTGCTGTCGTCCATTAATTGCTTCAGCCAATAAAGTACGAAGAAGCCCAGTCAATTGATCACGATCATTACCACTTCTTAAGTCAATTTGACGATTGAAACTATATGAAACGTAAAAATACCTTTCTTTTTCTTCCTTGGAAAGCTCAACACTAGGTAACCCTCCGGCGCTACTGAGCACTAATCTCAACTTTCTTTTAGCATCCAAAAAGGCTCTGAAAGAAAAGATAATTACAATCACCTTCGCACGTTATACCTGCACTGAGAAAGCTTCTCAGGACAATAATAAGGAGTATTGTCTTCAATTTCCTCACGAGTTATACTAGAAGTAGGGTCGACCCTTACTTCATCGGACACATCTATTAGAACTGACGGTGACTGTTTCTGATATTTGGCCAAAATGTCGTCTGCTAAGCGGTCCATATCTTGATATGAACTTTATTAAAATATTATCTTGGTTCAGTTACCAGCCAAGCGATTTTCACTACGGCTACTGGATAATCCTGGTGCCTGATTACTGCTTACGCTGTTATCACCGAACAAATCCGAAAGAGTCGAAGAGTGAGGAAGTTGGCGGAGTGGAGTGCTGGCAATACCTAGAAGAAGGCACAAAGGTATGTGGAACAGATGTGAAAAATACCTTTTCTAACTTTATCTCCAACTTTCTGGAGGCCTTGAAATATGCCTAGAGTGCGTTTCGGCGGACCTACATCGACCCTGGATGGACCTGGGACACTCACTTCTATTGGTGGACGATCTCTACTGACAGGAGAAGAATGTATTGAGCGTGAGTCGTTCGATCGAGGCTCATTGGAAGAGTTACGGAAAACGGGAGGTTTAGCTGGCAAAGGAGGAACATTTTGTCTTTCCTCCTCATGATCTCTAAACAATGAACAACATTAACAGACACCGTGATAGGCGAACCTCTCGGAACCAACATCACTTCTTGAATAGCTGAAGGAACTTCCACTACTTTGCCGTCTCATCCTATCTCCAGACGTGACGTCTATGAACTGTACGGCAGCAATCTGCATGAAAGATTATAGCATAATTTTTGAACAAAAATCGAACCAGTTCTGCTTGATTAGCTTCTGCTCGCTCACGTTCTTGAACGTCTTCTTGAATATCTCGAACTTGGCGCTCTCGTTCTCTACCTCCATCTGCTTCTGAATCACTCGCAATGGCATCGAGTGACCAAGTATCACTACGATCTTCTCCTAGATTACCACCCCCTACTGAGCTTGTTCTAAAAAAAAATTGAGCGGAGGAACTAGCATTTTAAAACCTGTTAACTGCACGTGCAGCTCTATTATTATCAATATCAAGAGGTGGTAATTGTGGAAGGGGAGGGACTGGTGCAGATGTTTCATCGTCGGAAGCCACAACATTCGTAGACCAACTATCCGACAAAAGTGAACGTTGATCATCTCCTAGTGAACATTTGATATATGATACTGAATATAAAGCTTACGATAAGTACGATTCTGATCTGATGTAGGAACTGTGAACTTTCCGAATTTCTCTTCAAGACCTTCAGCGTTTTCCTTTCGAACAGCAATAGGGACTGAAGGCAAATCACGTTGTTCTAAGCTCACTGCAGCAACTCCAGCAGAAATAGAAGCTGTAGCTATATCACCTTCTTGAAACAAAAAATATATAGAACCATAACACATCGCTGTAATATACCTTGCTCCATGGCCTCGTTATCTCTATTCAATTGACTAAGGGGAGTATCTCTTCCACTTAGGCTAGGAGATCCTCGTCCACTCATTCCACCAACATCCGAAACGTTATCAGGCAATGTTGATGCATTATCTTCTTCCATCAAAAGAAGCCTTAAAACCCAAACCATTAGAACACTAAGTCTAAACAACAGAGGTGTGCCGCGGCAGAAAAGCGGAATCAGAATAAACTAAAAAATAACTTATCTTCCTGTGGAGCTTCCTGACTGCTAGAAACTGATGCTACTTCATCAGCAGTTTCTTCTTCTAAATCTGATGCGTGATCCGTTGTTCTGTCAGATATCGCTGATCCAACTATATGCAAAGTTGGAGAGAGCATGTTATCAAAACTTCAAACCTATGCTACTGGTCTCTACAAAACGAGCTCTCTTTTCCTTTCCTTTGCGGCTGCGTTTGTTTGTATCTTTTCCAATACTTTCCATATACGTTTCCTCCGCGATTAAACCTATCCTTTCCCTGGAAAGAAACAATACCAGTAAGTTTTTAAGAAAACTGCTCACCCATTAGATTCATTAATGAACAATACTAGATCGAAATACTCCTTGGATAACTGCGTGGATTGTTCTTGAACTGTGGCTGAGGCACTTTTAATAGGTGATGTGTTTTTTTGTGGCGAGCTAGCATTTAGAGAGGTTTGAACTGAAAAAAATAGCATGATGAAACTTTGTTGATGTGGTTATTACCTTTATCTCTGAAATTCCTTAAACGACTTCCTGTTTGTTGAGAGGGTGGAGTAACATCAGCGGCTGGGAGCCCAGAAGTGAAACTATTGGGCAGTTTTTTTCCAATGAAGCTAAGATCATCTCTGATGCTAGCAGAGCTGATGTTCTCGACGATTCCATCTTGTAAAATGGATAACTGAGAAGAAGTGAATTCATTGTATTGATAAATAGACAAGACATACCAATACATTAACTTCGAACAATGATCCCATAAAATGCTGGCGACAAAACAACTCATGTGTGCGATTGGATCCGGCTAATAAGACAGGAAAAAGGGAATCCAAGGAAGGAGTTGGCTTAGCAAGAAGAGTTTCAACAATAGTAGATATTTGACTCTAAATTGTTAATGACTAATGAGATGGTACTACCCTTTTCTTACATCACGAAATTGGGTAGCGAAAATGTGGAAGTGGGGAGGTGGTGCTTCATGCCTGCTGAGCACCAAGGTCTGAAAAAAAATAATTAAACATTGTGGTTATCTTCTTCAGACTTGAATAATCTGGCCAATTTGCATGAGATTGAACCGGGCTATATGACTGATTGGAGTATCACTTATAATACCGATCGTTTCCGGATTAGCAATAGCGGGACAAATCAGGTTAGTGACAATGAGATCAGAGCAAATCAGCATAACCTAAATATGGAGATTATCAGGATATTGAACAGCTTGTTTTCCTTCTCACCTCACTATCACTCAGTCCTCGGTTGACCAGAGACATGTGCAGCTCTTTGACCAAATAAATCAAACTTGCAGGGAAAATATTAAGAGAATCACAGATGCCTGAATGAAACATGAACTTTGCATGAAAGAACTGAGCTACCTTTGATAAAATTATGAGCAAGCAGAACAAGTTTTTCAACAATAATCTTTCGATGTGCTGCGACTTTCTTATGATATAAAGAACTTGTGGGATCATCCCCGAACCGTCGAACCCGCTCTACCATAGGAAAGCGTAAAACAGACTGGAAATGAAAATTCGTTTTGTTCAATAAGTCCAGCACTACCTTCGAAGGGTCAATATCAAGGAAGATATCATCCTGACAGAGGACAAGCATAACCGAATCATGTAAAGCCGACGTGAGAAAGATCTTGAGTTAAAAAACTATTTTACCAATCATTTATATTAAATATACCTTCGACGTGAACAGAGATTCACTGAATAATCTGTAGAGCCTAGGGAATGCAGCGTTACCTTTTCTCAATATAAGACGAGGGTCATTCGCACACACGAGTTGAACTTTAACTAAATGAGTTAAAACTTCTAAGATGATCTTCTCATCCGATGGAAAGATCCCATTCCCATATATCAGCGAAAACATGGATTGCACTGCATCTTCAGTGGATATCGTCTGCAAAGAAACAGAATTAAAACCTAATTATTGAAGTTCTCTTACTTGAGACCCGTCAACTGAATGCAATAGCTCAGCAACACTCTTAGGAGACGACAGCAGAAGCTGAAGTCCTCGAGCTACTTCGGAGTGGTGATATCCTAGACGTCTTAAATATAATATTTCGTTTGTTCAGAAAAAACGAGAATGATACTTGTATGCTTCGACAACTTCGACAGCTTCAAGCTTGGACGCTATAGCGGCAGTGTTTTCCGGTGAAACTAAGGCATGCGAACTCAACAGACGTGATAGGATTATCTAGAGGAAAAGAGATATACAAGCTTGGTTTATGTTATTACTTGATAATGCCGGTTCATCCATGATAGAGAGCCGAGATCAGTGAGCTTGCGCTCAAGGGTAATATGTAAATCACGAAGAGATGTAACCTGTAAAGAGTGATCTTCATTAACACACACAATGTATTTCAATGAATGATATGAAAGTGAATCACACTCAGTAACAAACCTCACTAGAAACAAGTAACTTTTCAGCTCTCAGTCGATCACATAACAACCAAACAGAATCATGACCATCCATCGCGAATAAATACCTATTCGGTCATCTGAACACTTCCACCTAAGAAAAAAATGAACAATCATAGAACATTGTGCTAAGCATTTGCAAGGAGAGATAACCTGTATAGTGAGAACAGACTTAATGTTGAATTTTTTATACGTTCAATTTACACAGGAATGATAAAACACTATCACAAAAGAAAATAATATTAAATATAAAGGCATTTACGAGAACACGTATGTGCACCTACAAACTTAGTGATGATACAAAGTAGTAGAAATAGTTATTTCAACTCGACATGTACCATTTCATTTCTAGTGAACCCCAAACTTTTCAATGTACACTCGGAGTGATCAATGGAATATTCTCTTCGAGGAAACGATAGAATAAAAACATGATCATGACCGGATATTCCTAACCCGTTGATACATGATATTAATGCCTACAATAATGGTTCAAGAGTAACTGTAACAATTGATCATAACCTCACCTTTAGTTTACTCTCGTCTGTGATCTCTAGTGTATGTAGACGTCCATCAGGCAGTTTGAGACGAATACGACAAGGAGATCCAGTGGGAGACACTTCTTTCAACCAATCATCTTTATCAACCACTGATAGTGACTTCGTATCATGATTAAGTAGTTCTTCAACATCATCTACGAAATGAATCAACGTCAAACATCAGGAGGATTTAAACACCAACCTTTCGCCATCGGTTTACATTTTTTATTTGTAGTGACTCCGTCCTCTTCCTTTGGTTTCCTCTTTCTTGTTATTTTCGGACCTGGTTCCATGTCATCCTCCATAGCTACAGATCTACTACATTCTGGCTAAAAACAAAAAAGATTGATTAGTTCAAAAAGTTCAGAGCACTTCGGCAGCAGCATTTGGGTTATACCCTGGACCAAATGCATCCGGCTCGGCTCCAAACATACGGCCACCAATGATGAATCTATCTCTGGTAGCGAGATCAGGAAATTGATCCAAAAATGTAGTTACTGAACATAAGAATTGTTTTTATTGAGGAAGAATAACTCACAGCTATCACAGAAAGTTACAGGATCTTGTTGATTAAGCAAGATAGTAGTTACGAGTTCACCAGTACGAGGATCAACAATGAAAAGTGAGGGAAAAGAAGTGACTCTATAATAATTACAAACACGTTCTCCATCACTGGAATCATGACTAATCTGAAGCGAAAGGATAATGAAGGAATAGAAGACACTCCAAACTTGGTAAAATATAAAATTAGTCTTTACTAACTCCTTAACGGCGCTATTGCTCCACACATCCCTATTTAACTCCTCACATGCAAAAAATTTGTAGTTTTGGATGTTGACTAAAAGCCATTTTTCAGCTCTGGAAGCCATGCTTTTGACCTATACAATTATATAAGAATTCAACACATCGATTAAGCTTTACCGTTTCCCAAGTCCCGCTGAACATGATATCAACAGGTGGACGAAAAAGAAAAGATAAAGTATTCGTTGAACGATTATTCCCCCTCTGTCATATGCAGGTATAAGAAATGAAGTATGCGGAAGTACTCACTAAATCTACTGAAGCATTATTCGCTTCAAAAGCCAAACCATTCTGAGCTCTTCTCAAACTCCGTTCTTGTTCCACTGAAAAAATCATTATAGAGAAACATAGTGAGATTTGTTTGTACAAGCTTCTTGTCGATAGTCCCTCACTTCGTTGTTGAAAGCGCTATGAACACGCGTCCGAGATCCTGGAATTTTTATTTTTTAAAAGCTTCGGATTGGTGTATTACCATATTGTTGATTGAATGTTTGCTGCACTAATGCTCCCCTAGAAAATTGCATCGGTGGTCGAACCTATGTTTGGAAAAATATAAATCTTGATGTGCTATGTATGTAGGGCATACCTCTGGTTCCATACAAACAGGAGGCAAATTGTTACTCCGATTGTTACATTTACCATTAGCTTTTGCTTTGATTGGAGGAACTTTGCGTTGCTGAACGACATGGGGATCATCATCACATGTCATAGGCCTGGAACACTCAAGCTATCGTATAAACAAAAATAGTGTAAACTAACTCATCGTTCACCAATGGAGGGTCACCTTCAGAGGAACCTGCTAAGGCATCACGAGCAAAAAATAAATCTACAGCGGTAGGCAAATCGTATGAGCATGCTTCAAGATACTGATTTATCTCCTGCGAATTCCGGCAACCTAGAGAAGATAAGCTGTAGATCCGCTACAAATATTTAACTGACCTGTTATCGACCGAAAGTCTTCGCACAGCTCTTCTTTACTCATACTATTAGCACTTTCATGTGCGTTTTTTAAGCTATCTATATCTTAAAAAGGTAAGAATTCTATCGAAGAAAAAAAAGCTATGAGAAACGGTATAATATCAGAGGTGCGACAAAGATTTTCTCAATAAAAAAATTCTGCTGGAGGTGAGCCGAATACACTTTTGAAGTTACCAGATCCATGTTTCTTTCTCTTTATACTTCGGCTACTCGAAGAGTCATGCAAAGACATCATGAATACTCATAAAATTCGACATATCAATAGAAATTACATGAAAAGCATTGAAAAATCTCTAGGTTTCAGTTTCTTACCGTAAGTTACCGTTCAAGCGTTTGGACAAAAATGCAATACGTATCTCCCAATTAGTCTATTTTACGTTACACGTCTGCAACGTCACCAAGTTGAACATTTTTAAATAAAATTACAGTTTTCAGAGTTTTTTCCTCAGTTTTCACCTTTGAAACCCTTAGCATTATACTCTCAAGATGTCAGCTTACTGTTATCAATCAGACGAGGAGCAGAAGAGCAAAGTTGTACCAATGTTTGTGGTTTGTTCTATAATTTACATCGACTTGCTATACGAGTCTCTTCAAGACTGAACAGGATTGTGCAATTCGCGAAAATCCGCTCGAGTTCACATACGTTTATTCATATTTTATCCGGCCTGCTGGAAAATTTGATCCAGAAGAATACGCTCAATACGTACAACCAATAGCAGCCGTGAACTCAGTTCAACAGTTCTGGAGAGTGTATCGACATTTGAAGAGGCCATGCGGTTAGTCTCAGGATCATTTTGTGGTATTCTTAACTTTTCTCTCTGTAGATATTGGTGACAAAGTCGATATTCATTTCTTCAAGAAAAATATCAAACCTGTATGGGAAGATCGCGACAACGTCAAGGGTGGTAAATGGATCTTGAGACTGAAGAAAGTATACTTCATCAAGTAATTCATTCCTTAATATTTGATTGCAGGGGTTATCTTCTCGAGTTTGGGAAAATCTTCTTCTCGCCATGATCGGCGAACAATTTTTAGTCGGTGAAGAAATCTGTGGAGCCGTCTGCTCAATCAGGAACCAGGAAGATATTGTTTCTCTGTGGAACAGGTATTTCAAGCTCTCGAAACTGTTCCTATTGCCTTTAGGACCGCTTCTGACGTTGGAGTTACTAATCGAATCAGAGATACGCTTAGACGAGTATTGAATCTACCCATTAATGCAGTTCTCGAATATAAGCGACACGATGATTGTCTGAAGTAAGAAATATAATTTGAAAAGTTACAATTATTTTTATCTTAAGAGATCAAAGCAGTTACCGTCACGCTAATGTGGGGGTTCCCCGAAGAGTTTAATTCAAGTTCATTTCGAAGCTCCCGAATTGTTTCATTGTTATTGTTTTACTAAACGTGTATCCGGTTTTCTATATTCCATTTGAATATATGGGTTGGATCTCATATAATATTTTGAGAAGTTCAATGTGTTTGTAACACGTGTTTATATAGGTGCCACGTGTAAATGAGGAGTGGTCAATGTTCTTTTTTATTTTTAATTGTTTTTGCCCTGCATGCGGTTGATTGCGGCCCAAGGAATTATGAAGATGGCGCTAAGGTTTGTCAGCTTGCCTCCACTTCATACCCTTTCAAATTTATAGATCGATGTTTTTGTAAATAAAGTTGGGCCGTATGCAAATATCCATGAAACTTACCATTACTATCAGCTTCCGTTATGTAGACCACAGAAGGTTTTGTTCAAAATTTCTCTATCTCGCTGAACGTAGATCTCCAGATCGTTCATAAATCCCTGTCTTTGGGACAAGTACTAGATGGAGATCGTATGGCCGAATCAGCTTTCCTTGTCAAGTTTGGTCAATCCATACCAACACAGTCTTTGTGTGGTGAACAGCATATCCCGGAAGAAGAATCGAGAAAACTAATAGAAGCCATTGAGGAAGACTATTACTTTGAACTGATCATAGGTAAAATTGGAAGCATAGATTGATTTACTTCATTTTCGTATGCAGACGATCTCAAAGTGAGAAACTTCATCGGATATGTGACAGAGGCCAAAGTCTTTCCTCATGAGCATAATGTCTTCATTTACACTCATTTCGCCTATTACATAACAGCCAACAAAGACAGCGTAAGCAAAAGTTCAACTGATTTTGCGATTCCTGACTGATATCTTCTTAGGTGCTCGACATTGCATTAGTCATGGACTCTGCTCAAGAATTACACCATGAACAGCCAGTGCTTCTCAATTTGAAATACAGTGTTCATTGGAACGCGACAGAGTTAATCTGCTTTAGGCTCCGATATCTAATTGAATAATTTTCTCAGATTGCCCATCTCTTCAAGAACAAAAGAAGGCGCTGTTCATTTTTCAAATCGCACTATGAGAATTCATTGGCTTTCTGTACTAAACTCAGCGTTGTTGGTCTGCCTCCTTGTTCTTCTAGTATCTATTATAATAGTTAGTTGATCATTTTTTCTTTCTTATTGTCTGTTTGTTCAAGTTTTCATCAGTCAAAAGGGATTTATCTAAGTATAATACTGAGGAAGATGGTGATTTGCTACTAGACAATGGATGGAAAACAATTGGCATGGATGTGTTCAGGTTCCCGAGCCACCCAATGCTGCTCAGTGCGATCATAGGTAGATTTATTTTCTATAATATGCTATCTTCTATTGAATAGGTGTTGGGTTACAATTCTTAGTTATTGGTGCCTGTATACTTGTTATTGGCTCTCTCAATTTGATGAATGTTCACAGACACGGTCTTCTCAACACTTTGAGCGTTGTCCTTTATGCTCTAACTTCATGTGAGTTCTGAGTCGAATCGAAAAATCAGTTCTACATCTAGGCATTGCTGGGTATGCTTCTTCTTCCAAATACAGACAGTTTCAAGGAAAAAATTGGATAGCTAATATAAACTTAACATCGTTTCTATTTGCTGGTCCTATGATTTTTGCTTGGTCAATCAACAACTCTGTCTCGTGGGCGTATCAGAGTACTCAGGTACTTATCATTTGTAATGGAAAAAAACCAAATTGTTTTCTGCTCAGGCACTACCTTGGACAACGGTTTTAGTCGTTCTCGGTATTTGGTTGGTTTTTGGCTATCCCTTAACTATCATTGGAGGAATCTTGGGACGTGGTTTGAATTCCAAATACTCGGCTCCCTGTCGGTGGGTCACATTAAAATGATGAAACAAAAAGCACAGCAAAAAATGTGAATGGTAGCTTTCATGCTAGCTTTAACTCCTTTTGATATTTTTTCAGAAATCTTTTCTGATTTAATCTTCGTTGTGCTTTTTATTTTTTCTCAGACAGTCCATTTCTTTCACATTCATCTTTTTCATTAAGAACGAGAACTGTTCCACGTCAACTCCCACCTTTATCATGCCTCTACTCCACACCAGTTTTCTCAGCTATTGGAGGATTTTTGCCATTCAGGTTTGAAGCAAAGCTAAAGTTCTAAACTTTTACGATGGATTTAGTGCTATATGTGTAGAGCTTTATTATATATTCTCAACAATGTGGGGCCGAGAGTCTTATACATTGTTCTACATGGTCCTCATAGTTTTCGTGCTAACGGTATCAGAATCGAATGCCTTCCGAAATACTTATCCTGATTATCAGATAATTGTTGTTGCTTGCTGTGCTGTGGCGCTAACCTACTTTCAACTGAATCTGGAAGATTACCGTTGGTGGTGGAGGAGCGTTTTTCTTGGAGGGTAAGGATATTAATCATAATCTCGAAACTAAAATTAGCAAAAGAGTGCAATTTGTAATAAGACACTCGAGATAACTTACCAACTTCAACAGGGTATAAACTACGATTACCCAATTACATTAGTTAAAATCAAGCACTTTTGTTTTTGATAATAAGCCAATTACCGAATATGCTATTCGAAAATGATCATGACGTATGGGCAACAGTCGCCCTTGTCAGACGCACTGACCGGTTGTTCGACATAGGCGGAATCAAAATATTATTATGATTCCGCCTTTTCCTTTCTCTCTCCATTTTCACTTAACTATATCTTCTCACTGTTTGCCGAAATCTTATGGCAAGATGGTCAGCTCAGCTAACACATATGTCGTTGGACTGACTGCTTCCTTAGATGACCTGTATTCAACTGTTTTGTCATAATCGTAGTTTGGAGCCTTTTGAAACCTTGATCTCTTGACCTGACCGAGCATTAGGCGCGAAGTTTTATTTTTTCTTTCCAGGTCCGTAGGAGTGTTTGTGTTTTGTTATGGCATCTACTTCCTTTACTATAGAAGTGAGATGAAGGGCCTAGTGCAATTAACTGAATTTTTCACTCATCTTTTCCTCTTGTGTTATGTAACTTTTCTCTCTATGGGCACAATTTCACATTGGGCTTCTCATAAGTTTATTGTATATATCTTCTCTTCTGTTAAGAGTGATTAAATTACTCTGGGTAGGTTTTTACCAAGTATTATTCTAATGTTGGGTTGTTTTATCTCGGGAATGCATAATAATGTTATGGGTTTGGGTTTGAAACCTGTTTAACTGTGATCTTTCACTTGTGATGACTTCTATGCTTTATGAAACTGAAAGTAAATTGTGATAATTGTTTCCACGTGTCATACTCTTTTGTTGTTTAATTAGCTTAACTCGACTTTCAGTTCTTGGTTACGTTTCAAACGACAGGAACCGCGTCAGTGATTAACTAACAAGAAATTTGTAAATAAAAGGTATTTTTCTACTCATACTTCATATTTATTCCTATTCATTTTCAGAATGAAACTGCTTAAAGGTGTTTCACTAAGTAAATGGGTTGCAGCTTATTTCTGCGCCGTTGGCCTCTTGGCCTTAGCTGTACACAAACCTCTACCCGAAGGGTTTACAAAATCTAAATTGGACCGAATCGTTATGCATGTCGTTGAACCTGCTCTTCGAGTTACTTATTACTGGCCTGTGAGTATCTAGCTTTTCAACCTCTCGAATGCTATTTTTTTCAGAGTAGACTTTTCTTTTCTTCAACTTCTGGAATGGTCTGGTGGACAAGAATTGTGCTTAACAATCTTGCGCTTTTCGTTGGTCCTCTATGGAATTACGACGAACAGTTGCATATGGAAACAACCAATTGGGAGGGTGTGGACGTTCGTGTCTATTCTCCCAGGCAGAACGCCAGTTCAAGAGGCGCAGTATTTTTCATTCATGGTGGAGGATTCGCTCTCGGAAACCTAGTCATGTATGAATCTCTGACCAGAAGAATAGCGAAGATGTAAGTCCTTTTCTTGCTTGCACTGTCTAACAATATCACAGGCTCAACTCAGTTGTTGTTTCCGTTGAGTACAGACTTTCCCCCGAAACACCATATCCTGGTGGAATCATAGATTGTGAGAAGGTGCTTGAGTACTTCATCAGTATAGCTGAAGAGAAATACGATGTGGATCCTTCTAAGGTTCTATAACCGCAATAATGCCTGTTAAAACGATGATTCAGATTGTTGTAATGGGAGATTCAGCTGGTGGAAACTTGGCTGCTGTTATCACTCAACGACGTTCTGAGCAAAACAAGACGCCTGATATTGCTGCGCAAGTTCTCGTATACCCATTGCTCCAAATGGCAGACTTGCAATCTGTGTCTTACCGTTTTTACCAGAAGCATCTTGAGGGATACGCTCTCGTTGGTAAGAAATCCTACCATTCATTCAATAAGTTTCCTTACAGATCCAGAGTCTGTTGTTCTTTACTACATGTTCTATGCTGGAATCGATATGGATAAATATCGTCACCTGGCTAAGTATGTACTCACCAACGGTCATGTCTCTCCCAAGGACAGAAACTATATTAACAAGGTATCAAAAAATATTGAAATACGATTCGTTGAACTGTGTTCAGGTTTTAAACTACACTGTGTTCTCAGAGTTGAATTACGCTAACGAAGTTTTACCGGAACGCGCCCCTGTCCAGGAGCATGCTCTTCTGCAGGAGTTGATGGCTCCTTGGTTAACAAACCCTGAATTCTCTCCACTGATGCGTGAAGTATGAAAATTTAATATATCTTATCTTAATAATGTATCGCAGAACTTATCTGGACTACCAAAGGCCTTTATAATGACTTGCAACTTTGATGTCTTGAGGGATGAAGGGATAATGTATGCGAAACGACTTGAGAAAGCCGGTGTTCCCGTTGATTTGCGCAATTATGAAAACGGATTCCATGCTATGCTTAACTTTCACAGAGAAGTTGAAGAAGCTTCTAAAGCATTAACGGACGTAGTTGATTGGACGTTGAATGTATTACGATCCTAAAAACTATCTCTTCACGAGTCTTCTAGTCAGTCCTTTTTTGGATTTTTGATTTTTTTATTTTATACCCATGATTGCAATTGTATTTAAATCTTAAAAAGCTTAATAGTAGTGAATGCCTGTATGTATGTATTTATCAGGGCACTTCGTTTATACTCGATACGATGTTAGCTTTAAGCTCAATACGTTTTATTTCAGTATTGATTCTTGTATGATTTCTACTTGAATGTTGCCATATAATGAAGCAGTTTTAATCATTTATATCTATTCCATTTTCGTTATTTTCGATAGAAATACTTGAGAAACGGTGTTGAAGTAAGAGCTAACCTTTTATAGTTATACAATGACTGATAAAGATATGTCGATCGAATTTTCGACACCTGATGGTGGAAATAAAAAGGTTTTGACATTCAGAATGCTTTTATGACTGAGCACCATTAAAGGTCCCCAGGCACATGGCGGAATATTCTTTGATGGTTAAACGTATGGTTGAACTTTACTGCCAAGACGGGCCGTTGACCGAGGCTATACCCCTGCTCAAGTTGAACTCCTCCACACTCAATTGTCTTGGTAGATTGTTCCCATTTTCACTCTTCTGTAAAATATCAATTGTAGTGGATTGGATGACTAAGAAAGCGAATAACAACGATGCTTCGAACAGTTCCAGATCCAGAGAAAGCCATCACATCAGTGATGAACGATATGATGGAGTGGTAGGTCTTCATTCGAATTCGTATTTAAAAAAGTCATTTAAGGATAATCGTCTTCAAGACTGGGAAAGAAACTTCTTCGTGAATTTGCCCAGAAAACAGCTGTTTCAACTAATGAACGCTGCAAACTATATGGAAATCCCCAGTCTTGTGGAGTCGGGTTCATGCTTCATATCAGAGAGAATATCTGTTTGTTTCTCAATGTTATTGGTTCATAACTCTCTTCATTAAGGGTTTGGATTTGGACCAAATAAGGAGTTACATGAATCTACGTTCCGATTTTAATGATGAGGAAGAGAACTCTTTGAAACAGAAATACGATTGGCTGAATGTTTAGATAGTTTCGATATTTTTTATACTAACAAGAAGAAATACTTACACTGAAGTATAGATCTCTATGATAGCTTCAAAAATTACATGCTTTATTAAAGCTACTCGTTGTATAAAATTGCCAGTCAAATAAAGCTAATCATCAAATTCGTAGGGACAGTAGTCGGGCCAGTTGGTAGGCTGAGCTCGGAATCCACGAGCAACGAGGCGACATCGCAGTTCATGAAGACGGGGCCAAGCCTCATGGGCTGAAGTTGTTTTTTCAGCAGGAGACCAGAGTCGTTCAGCAGCAGCAGATGCACGAGGCCTGTGTACGATTATGTTTATATGAAGTAGGAAAAACATTTTCAAACCAAAGTCTGGATTCAATATTTGTGTTGTCCACGAATTCACCCCAGATGGCGACAACGCCACCTAAAACTCGTGACTTTTGCTCTTGGGTGCCTGTGAAGTTTGCAGGATCACAATAGTAGTATTGTGAATTGGATTCAACATTGTTAGAGATTAAATCTCTCCAATCAGCTCCATATTTGATATAGTTCAAGTACCTGGGAAATGTTCACGTAAGATATACACCGATTTCAGGGAAATACCAGCAAGCAGATACTATTACATCTAGACCATCCTCTGTTATATTCTTCACTTGTTCAGTAATTTCTTCGTGTGTGTTTCCTTTCCACACGTGAACAATTGAATTTGGTTCCTAATCACGATCGTTAGAATACATAAGTTAAAAAGAACAAACAGGCTTGTTGTTATCATATACTTCTTGCCAGAACACCATACGCTTTTTCAGCTCCAAATTATTTACGATGTCGAACAGTCTTAAAGCAGTTGTTGAATCCAGTGAAATATAAGAACATCTACTTGTCAAAGAAATAGTTTTCCAAGTCTGTATTGTTCGCAAAACCTTTGTCATCCATGAAGTGTTGAATTTTTTCATTACGTTCCCTGGAGTAATTAGCATGTTAACTCGGATTATCTATGAACTACTCGTTCACGTCAAAGTCATTTCACGTGCAAAATATCTTAGGAACGGTTGCTCTTCATGTTTATATATATTTTTTTCGATTTTTCGACAAACCAGCATTCCAAGAGAAAGTCTGACACTTCATCACCACCCAAATGAAGAAAACTGTCAGGAAAGGTACGAGAAACCTCATCTAAGAATTCCTAGAAACAACATTTTACGATTCAATAAAGTAAATGCCATCAATACGTCGATAAACTTGAAGTTAGCAGGATTAGAAGGATCCACTAAGTTTGGCCAAGTTCTTTTCATGTCTTTATCAAAACACTCAGTGAGGAAACCCTCTTGTCCAATCCAAGAACTAGTGTGTCCTTCAAACAGATTGGATTTAAGGCTAGCTAAACGAAACTAACCAGGTAAATCAAATTCCGGCATTACACGGACGCCTCGAAGACGAGCATAGTTTATGACTTCACGGACATCATTGCGAGAGTATACATGACGCTTAGAATATGCTCCCTGAAGGCCACAATATCTGTCTATTTGAATTGTTAACCTACTTTAAGATGAAGATTGGGGAATTTTTCGGACTCATAGGGGAAAGCTTCACTATCTACAAGATGCCAATGTAGTAAGTTCATTTTGTTCATTGCCATGAGGTCCTATAAGATAGAACAAGCTTCTCAAAACAATAGTTTTTTCTTACGATCTGTCGTTTGATAACTTTTGTTGATAAGAAATGTCTGGATGTATCAATCATCAAACCTCTAACAGGGAACCGAGGGAAGTCTTTGACCTCTGCTAACCGAATGGAATACTGCAAGGAATGAGTTGTTGATTACAAAATCCAGCTACCTGTTGGTATTTTTCATCAAAGAAAATAAGCTGGCTGAGTGTTTCCATTCCGCGAACAGCACCCCAAACAGTATCTGCTTTGAGAACAGCTTTTTTCTTAGTGACCGAGAGTTCGTCTGCATAGTTCAACAGGAGGCTCAAATTGTATCAACAGAATCTCACAGTTTTCATTCGCTGCATGTGGAGGAGTAGATGTTGGGCATGGTTCAACAACGTTAACGATTACAATGTAGTCTTCGGCTACCCCTTTCGCTTTCACAGGAAACGGAAACATCCATTTGTTCACTGAAAAAAAGGAAGTCTCTATCGCATGTATTAGTCTGGTTATCCTACAATAGTTCTCCGCATTGTATCTCAACACGTCGCAATGTTTTTTCCCATCCAATTTGAACCCTATCTTCGCTGGATCGATCGTTCGGTTTCTTTCCAGATAACGAATATCTGCAGGTAGTGGCCAAACCTAATCGAATTAATGCTTGATTGTGAGCTTGGTAAACTCACTCCTCCAACACTCCAGCGATCGGGCTCATCGCGTCCATAAAACCAGGATGCTTGCGAAGTTTCAAAGAAACTGAGTATGCACAGAAGTGCGATACCCAATATTGGTCTTGTCATATCTGAAAGATGAATTCATTCGATGACCGAGCATCTTTAAGATAAAACAGCGAACACAACAGAAGAAACTGAAACACTGGCTGTTTCTTCATATATTCAAGACTCGTGACCGAAGTCAGGAAAGTAGAATGTTTTCGAAGAACTAACACAAGGAATGGCTTTTATAGGGTCAGGACATCGAGAGACAGCTAATCGAACGTCGAAGCTTTGAATACAAACAGATGTCATCCATTTTGAAAGGTCAAAGCACAGTGAGCAACTCACGACATTTGAATGATTCTCATTCTCAATCATTACCAAACAAACAAGTAATACAAAAACAATTTAAAACAAACTTTTAAAACATTTTTATTAAGAAATGGAAAATAGGAAGCTGAAAAATCACAACAAAGTTCCGGTCGAACAAACAACCACAACATGAGAAACAAAACTTTCATAGCGGGTGAATCAAAGATAACAATGAACAAATTTCTAAATAGCAAAATGTGAGTAATGAAAAATAGGAGTTAGTGGGAGCTGTAACCACAGCTGAGGTTTGACTTCAGAACTATACTTCGAAACATAAAAAGAGTAGCAACTTTAAAACTTCACTCTAAAAACTAGATAACGTGTCAGAGACAACGCATGGAAGAGATGTATTTTCTGGATAATGAAACTATAGTAGATTATTCTGTTTTTTGTACTCCAACAGTGTCTCTTGAGAACCCTTAATCACCTTTTCCTTGTAGGCATCTCATGCGATCAACTCACTGTGAAATCTTCTTCAAACTGTTCCGTACATGTTGTAAAACCGACCCAACGAACGCATAAGAGTAAAACTCCATTAAAATATCGATGAGAAACTATTTCATCCACTTCATATTCTTCGGTCGAAATCATTCGAGATGGAAAACCATCAGTTAAACTTGGGAGACGATAGGCATAGTCCCACACATGTCGGATGTTCAGCCCCACTACATGCTTATAAGCTTTCAATGTCTCAGGAAAAAGTTGCTGAAAAAAACGTTCAGAAGAAACACGGCGAAACTCAAACTCTGGCATGTTCTTCATCCAAAATTCTTTCTGTTCTTCCTCTGCGGTCGAAGGCACAAATATAACTTATGTTCCCAAAAGCATCTTCTTGATGACCGACAACACCAAGCGCCTGCAACCATTAAAAGAAGAAATCATGTTGAATGAACAATCATATTTAAAGTGGCTTTTGAGCAAATCAACTAACTGAGAACATTATAAATCTAATCAAAAAGATAAAACAACTTGCCTTAGAAGGAATAGCAGCCTTATCCATGAATCACACCAAATGAAAAAATCAGCGAACAATAAGTGACCGAATAAGAATATGAGCTATATTCCACGAAGGACTACTGTTATTGGATTGGAGCACGTATTGCGAAATTTCTTTGACGTTTTAATGAGGAGATATCGGTTTTCTGAAATGTCCAATTAGTAATTATAATATCAAGGAGCAAAGTCAACCATGCGTCACGCGTCTTCATTAAGAAATGAAAAAAAAAATTCACGTGAACATACGTGGAAAGATGTGAAGGTGCAACGTGGGGGTGTGTTCAAGTACAGAACTCGGTTTGATGAGTAAAATGAAAAATTAGTTTTGAAGGAAAGAATCAATATAGAATTAAGAGAAAATTATGTTTTATAAAAAATGTAAGAAAACGAGAGGAAATGTTTTGTTAGTTTTCATGAAGATTTGGATGAAAAAGAAAAAAGAGAGAGAGAAGAAGAGAAAAAAGAAAGAAAAGAATGTGTCATCGTCGCTTTGTTTCTCATTTGCCATTGTAAATGCTTCTGTTGGAATGTGTTGAAAGGGCAGATGGTTCTATTTACGTCATGTATCTCTGATTATGAAAAGTTTATAAGCTTAATAAGACAAAAACTCCCATAAATTGTTTATTGCATTCATTGTATTGCATTTGTACATTATTATCTGCACATCATATAAATATATTTGAAGTTGAAGGAAAACAATCGAGGTTATTATGTATGAAGAGTAGACGATATGAGGAGTAGAAATGGAGAGGAGAGAAGAAGACGAAAAAAGGATAATCATTAAGAAAATAAAACAAATAACATGGAGAAAGGGAAAATTCTCTATCACCAACCCGCTATCGCAAGAAAGTGCTCTGGGTAGTTTCGGAGCTGATTTACAGTCACATTCTGAATATCAAGAATGTTATTAGGAAATGGTGTTGGAATAGATGATATCCATGTGTCAGTAAATGCTCTTTCCAATTTGCTAAAGTGAAATCGACAAATAAGTAAGAGAAGAAATAAATAATAGTTGAGGTTGAGTAAGTTGTTCTGAATGACAGATACGAGTGATAGAGGGTCAATGTTAAGGAAATTTCAGAGTAATAAAATTTTCTTTCTAATAATAAATAAAAAAACAAAAATAAATACAAATTGACGTAAAATAGGAGAGAAATTTGAGACGTGAAACGAATGCTCCTGAAAGCACCTACTAGGTAGTTCTACCGGTTTTGTTCTATCACTTTTGATGAGAGGACTTCCTCGTCGAAATGGATCTGGGCTTTGGAGAAATGAAAAATAAACGCGAAGACTTAAAAAGCTCCAGATAACCCGTCCAACCGACGACTAAGGCGTTAAGTGTTTGAGAGAGAGGGAGAGAGAGAGAGAGAGAGAGAGAGAGAGGTAAAGAGACAGGAAGAATAGGAAGATTTTAGAATAGTGAAAGGCTAACGAGAATCGTGTGGTGTTCAGAAAATGATAAAGGCACATATATATTCCACATAAGGTCACTTTGAGAAGAAGCTTCACAGTTTGAACAAGTAAAAGGCACAAAGTGGGAGAAAGAAAAGGTCTCGGTTAACAAAAAATAAAACAAGTCCGAAGATCTAAAATTAGAGTACAATATGTATAAATATGTATATATATATATGTATATATATAAAAATATGAGATTATTGCCATTCACGACACATTTCGGTCTGGTGTCGTCAACTTTAAAATGAAATAGGAGGAAGAGACTATGAAGAAGCACAACCAGCTAATGAAGAGTGAAAAGCCATATCTCGTAGAAAATCTTTGAATATTATTGATTATTAAAATTCAAAGAAGAGAAGAAATGAGAAAAGGTGTGTGCTGAATCAACAGCGTTCTGTATTTATAAAGATAGTTTGAGGAAGTCAGCATTGGCTGACCGGCCGATTTCGGCAAGTCGTATCTTCACAACAGCAAACCCGCACTATACGACATCCACAACCACTTTGTAGACAGTGTGATACTTTGATGTCCTTAAATTTCCAATTTTATTATTCATTATTCTATTCGTGAATATACCTCTGCTGTTTGTGAAGCAGCATCGCTTTTTTGCGGTGACGGAGCATTGGAAGCGATCATGGGACTACTTTGTTGGGGTAACTCTTTAGGCTTTGGGGCTGCAGCAAGTGGGAGTTGTTTCTTGGGGGTTGGTGGTGCTGCTGCGGGAACCATTGGTTGAGACAGAGCTGCTAACGTGGAAAGCATATCCATTCCACCTGCGGCTCCAATCATATTAGCCCATAGTATACTCATAGTATCTTGCTCTACACTGTTCATCCATGGATTGGTCCTTTAATAGAATTATCATCAAAACTAACAAACAAAAGCAACTTACATTCCATTCAACATGTTGGCATGAAGTAAATTGGCTGTTTGCTCCGTAGTTGTCGTTTTTGGTTGTGGAGGGACAGCAGCAGTTTGTCGGAATGGAGAATCAACTTTGACATTTGTGAACAAGGATGTAGTGTCAACGAAAGCAGACTGTAAGCGAGAAAATGAGTTGAAGGAAAGATAATCAAGGACTTACGGGATCAAGCTCTGTCTTAGGGAATTTCATGAGATTATTCATCATGCTATCTTGGAATACTTGCGTTGGATATTCTTCTTCTTCTTCTATTTTTTGTTGAGTATTAACTTTGAGAGGTGAAAGTAGTCCTTCATGTCCATCGAACATCATCAGCTTTCGCTTCTGAGGATTGGTTGGACGAGATCTTGGCTTTCGAGGCTTTCCAACTCGAGAACGAGCTAGTTGGATGCTTTTTCTGAGTCCTTCTTTGTTTTCAAAGGTGACTCCTTTACTTAAATATTCACAGGCTTGATTGACTAATTCACCGGCATCCATATCAGGATTATCAAGAGCTGCTACATAGAGTTGAGACTGAAAAACAGAAATTTAGTTTATTGTATAAATTGTGGAAAAATAGGTTCAAGCCCCTTCCCCTCATTTATGCACCGGTTGTAACATTGCCCTCAACAAATTTTATTTCGTGAACATTTCTCTTGACAGTCGTCAAACTATTCATCCATCTGTTTGATACGCAGGTCAGATAGAGTAAAAATGGATGAAAAGTGCAGTGGCAGTCAGTGGCAGGGACGACATCGCCAAGAAAGAGGTCAGTAGGCCCGTGACGTCTTATTATTCTGTGCCATTCAACGACCCCGACGATGGTCGTCCTTGATCCGTTTTTCCTATGATGAAACTTGGCGAAGTTACTGCCTGACCATAGGACTATCTACATCTAGCACTTGCGATTAAAGTTGTTGTCTAAGCAGATAGCCAGTCTGACTTTCATCAGCTAGTAGATATTCTCGAACAGGAATGACCCGGAGACGGATGTCGCCGAGGACAACCCTCCTCCCCATCATTTCGAAGACGTCGTCGTCGTTGTCGTCGTCGTTTTCGTCGTCGTTCACTGTATCATCTGATTCAACGACATGAGAAAAGCAGCCCGCAGAAGGATATTATTGCTAATTAGGGCCTGCGGCTACTGTTATTTTGGATAAACAAAGAGAAAATATGAAATAAAGCCCACATCGGGGAAAAAATAAAAGAGAAACCTCAGAAGGTATGCAGAGAAAACTAGAAAAACGTTGGAAAAGAGAGAGAAAGCGCTTGACTTATCTGTCATTTTTCGTGTCTCTTTTTTCACATGCATGTTCTATTTCTGAAACGACCCTCCATTTAAACGGATCCTAAAGTCTCTCTACAGGCATCTGATGATGTAAAAAGACGATTAACGTTGGCCGTGGCTCATCGTCGTTCTTCACCCGATTGACACCGTCGTTCGGCGGCGTTAGTCAGAAAAACGACTGGCAGATAACCTAGATTCGGCCTATAACCCAAAAAAGGACGAGATGTTGGTGGTCATGGAAGGTACAGCAAAGACTGTAGCCTTCTTCTCATGAAAATATCTCGATGAAAGTTAGAAAGAATAAATGCTAAAGTCCCGCAAATGCTAAGAAAGAACATATGATAGAATCAGCTGGCAGGTATTTCGAAATATTCTCTGCTTCCCTCAAATCATTTGTTCAGAAATCAGACACAAAAGACTAAGTACATGCTGAGTTCAGAGGTTGATTAAAACTTATTGAAATAAGGGGGAGGGGAAGAATATGCACACTTAAAGCTTGAGCTGATAAGGATCATTTGCCTGCCATCCAAATCATTGATAACAATTCCTTGCTAATTATAATCATCAATTATTTGCACAAATAAGGGCAGGGCTCGATTACACATCGAACCCGAATGGTTGGACACGCAACTTCATCTTCTTCTTCAAACAATTCAAATCAGCAAAGAACATTTTGGTGATAGATGAAGCTGAGATCTTGAGCTCATCAGATCATTTCTAACATGAAAGTACAGAGGAAATGGAGATGATGAAGAGAGAGATAAAATGTGAGAGGTAGAGAGAGCCACAAACAGGTGTTAAATGGTCCTCAGAACATCACATGGCAAACATCCAAAGCCGTTCTTACACGAAAAAATTGAGAGAAAGAACTTCTCTCTTTAGTTTGATCTATCTTAAGTTGACCAATCAGCTGATTCTCAGATGGCAACGACCTTTGGTAAAGAAAAACCTTGGAGAAAAAGCCGACAACAATAATAAGTTCGAATGTTTGATGCGATACAAGATGAAAAAAAAAGAAAAAAAAAGAAAATACAAACCTTAATGAATTCGAGTTCGGCCACAAGATCCTTTGGTGGATGATTATGTTCTCCTCGAGTTATGGCATTCTGATCATCCATGGTTGTCTCTGCCCGGCATTTACACCATGTTCCACTATCAGGGATTTTCTTGGCACAAACACATCGCCAAGACTTGAAATTGCGTTCAGGCAAGACCTGAAAGACAAACACATAGAATGAGAAAAAATGAAAGCAAATTACTTGATAAATATTGTAACGATATCCCTTATACATAAGTTTTTGATATCCCTTGAAAGATGTCACTAATTGTGGCACATTGGGATTGTAACGAACAAACTGAATCTGAAGAAAAAACAATCAATGATAGGAAACAAATGAGTTTATTGTGAACCTTTTTCTTTTCCTTTTCTGGAGATGGTGGAATACTGTTTACACTGACGGGAGAGATAGCTGATGTTTCTGTCGAAGATGACGAGAGATCTGACGATCCGGCCTTTTCCAGACCCAACATCTGTAAGGAAGTTGAGTATTGAATGAAGAAAGTAAAAGATAAGAGTTATGAAGAAATAGTTTAGAATATAGAAATGTAATGAGAGAGAATAATGTTGAGAAATCCGATAAAAATGATGAAGAGAGAGCGATATATAATATATAAACAATAGAAGCTGAATATGTTTAAAAATAAAAGTAATGTTTAAAAATGTTGGATGGCATTGTCAGGAAATAGAAGACATCATGTGGTTGTATCTTGACCAGCAAGGAATTTGAAAGTGTGGCGTGGATGAAGGTGAAGGGCCAAACATGGAATGAGGACGCCCAAAAGCGAAAGTTGTCGCGGAAAATGGCTGGATATAGTGGGATAGCGAATGGAAAGGCGGGTGGACACATTGCCTCTAACGAATAACAGCAGGAACTGTGCGAGGATAGGAGGGCTGGACGACATCTGATGATGAGATCGACCGAGAAGAGGAGGTCGGGGATTCGGAAGAAGGCAGATTGACGTCCGGCGACGAGATTCAAGTCTCCTCTAGTCGACGAGAAGAATGAGAAGGAGAAGAAGAAGAAGTAGAAGAAGAAGAAGAAGATTATGAAGACGAAGAAGAAGAAGACGAAGAAGAACGTCAACTATAGAAGATGAAGCGGCCGTGCGCGTTGACGGCGCGAAAGGGGGTCGACGACACCCATTTTTAATGACGGCGACCAACGGCTTCGTGCAAAAACAGACTGACGACAGTGAGAGAGAACGGAGACGATGCGGTCATCAGACAGTCTTTTCCATAAAGGGTCAAAGGGGAAGGGAGTGGTATTGAAGAGGTGACAGCTAAGAGATTGGGAAGAAGATTGTGAAGACGAGAGATTACAAGGCAAACTACGCCTCAGGCAATAAAAGCAAGAGTGACCGCCTACAAGGGCCATGTGAAATGATCTCTATTTTCTTTGAGTTCTCTTTTCCTCTCTCTATTTCTACTTCTTTGTTTCTCTCCATCTCTGTTTCTCTCGAAGTCATCCTCATCCTCTTTCCTAATCGGCACAGCCAGAATACGATCAGCAAAAAAACAAGACAACCACTTGGTTCAATGCTTTAGGCGGAACTGTGTCGCCGGAATATTGTCGACACGGTTCGGATCCGGGACAATCAACATGGCACTTCAAATGACGTCATAGGATGAAAAGAAAATTGTAGAAATTCCTTATAAGGGATGATTAATAAGCTTATGGTGCTTCAGAAAAAAAAATGATAAAGAATTGAGGAGAAAAAATTGCGCTGCAGGCAGAATGAAATTTAATTTGAAAAATAACGAACGGCAGATCACGAGGGCAACAGGTGGAGAGGACACAAGTACCGTCAGTTGAAGGTTTGACTCTGGGGTTAAGGAAGGGTATGATTGAAGGATAGGACGAGAAGGTAAATGATAAGCGGGAGATGTTTAGGAAAATAGTGGCAGAAGGACATGCTACAGCTTATTGATAATGTTAAGGAGAAAAGAAGAAAAGGACTATGTGTGGCAAAACGTTCCGAACTTTATCAGTTACAGCCAGCAGGATGATTAGGTTGGAAGACAAGAGGAACCAACATATCAAACTCAAGTTTTTCCTATTTTGATTCATCTCTACTCGCAAGTTACCATCCCAGTATTGAGAAGACAAAACAAAAATTGAAAGTCAGCAGGCACATCATGGCTTACTCCCTCATAACATTGTCTGATATCTCAGTTTTTTTCTTTTCCCTCCAACAGCTAGCAATTTGAACAACCTCGAGGGCAGAGAATGACGTTTCATGTGCTGGCTGGCTGTTGAGGTGATCAGCTGATAGGTAAAACTGCCTGATAACGGACGGCAAGGCCAAGAGCAGGCCTCTCTCGCTCGACCAAGACAGATATAAACAGCCTGTGGAAAAGCTGGTTGAAGATTAGCTGAAGAAAAAAAGAGACATTTTAGAAAAGTTAGAGAAAATAGAATGATCTGTGATCAAGGAAAAAAGAAAAACAAATGAAGGACAGAAGCTCACTCTTCCATAAAATATTTTCAAGCTTGGCATCTAGGTCAGTCTCTGAGAAACAAAATGAAATCTCTTATCACTTTTGACCTCGTAGCTCAGCCATAGTATAATCAGGAATGAAAGGGGCTTGAAAGAAACAACAACTTGACAGTTTCTATCTCATCCCAGCAATGCCCCCTCTCTCTTTCAAGTAATAAGAAAGATAGATAGAGGGGGCACAAAGGTTGTCATTGGGTGGTTATAGGCTGGTGCAGTGGTTGTGGCCCTAATAGGGGACACGCCGGCGGTCACCAACGTGCGTACGCCAACCAGTTTCACTTGGCACAGATTCGGACGACGAAAAACAAGCCGCCAGAGATGCTAAAGAGACGACGAGCAGGACATCGAAGAGTCATTTATGGATAGACAGTAAGAAGATGATGCAGAAAGGGGGTTAGGCTGCAAGGGAAAAGCGGACAAAAGCAATGTGTGAATGCCTTTAATGGAACAAAACGGCAGAAGTTTATAGATGTGATGAAAAGGAACGAGAGAGAAAAAATTGTACAGTTTGAAGAAAAGGTGGTGAATGAATAGCAATGAGTAGTAGTATCCACTGTACTGTTGACTAAACTGTCTGTCCGCCACACGTAGAGGACAGTTTCATAAATGGCAGTCGAGCGGAGAGATGGAAAGATACACGCGCAAGAAGAAGAATGAGAAGACAGAATGAGGAAATAACGGTGCATGCCGGCTGTAGAGGACCTTGAAAGAGCTGTCTGGGGTCATGTCAAAAAGAATTTGCGGCAAACGAAGGAGGACGAGAATTTGGAACAATAAATGGCCGATAGTGCAATTCAGAGGAAAAGACGGTCAAGACCTATAGATGGCTGATTGATTGTACATCAACTATGATCATCAGAAGTTTCCGTTCACGAATCCCCACCGCCGATTGCAGCGGAACGGTGTGTGCCAGGCCGAGCGAGGCTTGGCCAAGTCATCATGGCTATCTGAGCGGATCGTGAAAATTTGATCGTTTCAAATGATTTTCAAGGCTCATGTAGGTTTTTACTGTGAGTAGTTTGACAAGTGCATAGTTTGATACACCACGGAAATGGCAGGAGCTGAAAATGAGAAATCGAATGAAAATTGATGTACTTTCTGCAGATTTCAAGAATGCGATTCAGATTTTCTTTGCAAAAAGATAAAAGAAAAAAGGTCGGAATAAAGTGATTTTAAGGACGTGCCAGGTCAAATGACCTTACGAGGTCAGACGGATGGCAGCCCAGAGGGCGTTTGCCTGAGAACCGAATATGGACACGTATTGAAACAAATAAAACGAGAGAGAGAGAGAGAGAGAAAGAGTGGAAAAGAAAAGAGGGAGAAGGATAATAATAGAAGAGAGATAGTTTAGTTAATAAGTTAACCCTGAAGGTGGTACGTGGATACTTATTCTCTTTTTGAATGAAAAGACGAAACATCGATATCTGATGCCAGGAGGAAAGGTAAGAACAAGAGCAAGAAACATGACAAGAGATAAAACAGCTTGGTTATGAGAATGTTTGAAGAGAAGAGGAAACAAAGGCATATCGATGATATTTTTCTTTTTTGATGTTGGCAATAGAGAAAGACAGGCAATGTTTAGGAAAATGAATCATTTGACCGCAATGTTGTTGGCAGCCAAATAACAAAACTCGCAGATAATCGCAAAAAAAATTTTTGTCTGCTCTCTGTGAAGAAAAAATGAGAAAGTATTTGATAAGACTTCTTCGACAATTTTGATGACAACGCAGGTGATCGTACCACGAACGGCAATTACCAGAGGCTATCGGTGCTGGGTCGAGAATTCCTTATTAAGGAGAAAGCTGAAAATGAACATTTTTTATAAAATCTTCAAAAAAGCAGGAAGAAGAGATGACGTGATGAAAAGTTGTTGAATGAATGACGAAAAAAGTGATGTCAACGGAGGATGGCTAACTTTGAACGTTTGAGAAGGAATGGAGAAAGGTAAGAGGGGGAGCTGTACGAAGGAGAGACTTCTTCGGGATGTGAAAGGAGGAGAGAGGAAAAAAGAAGAATCATTTAGCAACGCTTACAGTCAAAGCAAGGAATGAGCAAGCCAGTGGCTGGCTTGATGAATAAGACACGACACGCCGACTATGATGTTCTTTTGTAAAACGAAAGGTTATGACCAAATAAAGGATTGGGGGTAGAACTCACATACAACAACACCTTTTACCTGCCAGCTTTTAAATGAAAATAGGAAATTAATAAACTGATAAAATTTTATAATCATTCATGATCGAGGGGATGATGGAGTAGCTGATAGCATGGCCCTTTCCTATGTGTCACAACGTTTGAATGGCATCGATCGAACAGCTATAGAGACTCAAAGAGACAGAAAGAGAAGAAGAGAGAGGGCAGAGAAAACATTACAAGAGAAGGGACCACATACAGACGTAATACAGACACCGCTTAGCTATAGCCAACTATGGACTAAAAAGGCCATGACTGAATGAATTGTACTAAAAAGAAGGAGAGACCACCTGGGAGAAGATAAAACAGAGAGAGAGAAAGAGAAACAGAGGTATTATGCCAGGTACAACCTGGCATCGATCATTTACCACAGTTTCTCTTACATCAGAATCTGATGGAATGTTGCCTTTTAGAGACAGATGGACAGTTCACAAAGTGCAATTTGAATAAAAAATATCATTGGATAACGAGAGAAGAGAGGAAATCGAACAAAACGATGACATTTCCAATCTGTGGCATCTTGATGTCAAATGCATTTAAAAGCTTAAACAAACTGTTCCTATCCAACAATACAGAGCAATATATCTCTCCTCTCCCTCTTTTCCTCTCTTTAAAAAGGGCCTTGACCATGATTGGCGCGGTAAATAAGTGAATTTGCCCCGGGGAAATTTAACTGATAACGAAAAAGGTAACACAGCTGAGAATATGAGGAAGCACAGCTGAAGAAAAGATAATGAAAATGATTTTTTTCCTCAAATAAGTCATGTGAAAATATTTTT